ATCTTGATGGCAAGATCGTCGTGCATCGTACAGAGAGAGCACCGGCGAATGCTTCAAAGAACCCATTGGACAAGGTGGGATCCGCGGTTGCAGAAATCAACGCACGTTTGAGTCGTGCGGGTGTGATGAGATCCGGCGTGCCTATTGACAACCGCGGGCCTGATGCCGGAGCCTTCCATGCAACGCTGGAAATCAACGATTTCCCTCGTAAGTTGTTCTATATTCTCCCCATATTTGAGACAATTGCTTACCGTTTACTTTCGTCATACAGAAAAAGCACGTTGGGCTGTCACGAACCGCACGAACGTGGCAAAGATCCTGGAAGCATCCGGAACTTCTATCACCACCAAGGGCAATTTCTACGCCGCCGGGAAGGAACCTGGTCCCGGGGAGCTTCCCAAGCTGTACATTCTGGTTGAGGGCGAGACGGAGATATCCGTTACCACCGCCATACACGAGCTTAGACGCCTGCTCAAGGATGCAACACTGGCAGCCTCAGAGGGTGAGGCGCGCGCTCCGGTGGGTGGCCGCTATAATGTTCTTTAGGTCAAGCTTTAGGTCATAGCAGGCTCCGATATATTCAATAACTCAATGATTGTACGATATCCTTGTTTCTTCATTCATGTAACCCCAAAGTAACAGAGTCCCTTGATGATTATATCTAGTAGTAGAATTGGAGAAACCACTGCTCATGGGAGTAACCGACGAGACCAGCATCATTACATCATTCAAAATACATATATATCAAAGAGATGCTTGATTGCACAATTCCACCAACAAACAAGTCAACAAACTGCAACCAAAAAGCCAAACATACGCTAGCAAAAGACACAGTAATCTCACAAATAGAACGCTAATGGAAAAATTGCCAAGATATCAAGGCAGTCATGATCAAATCAAATGTCGCGTAGATGCCTATTCCCATCTCCTTGCAGCTTCGGCCCCATCCACATCTCGCGCAGCCCTCTCTGTGCGACTGACTTGATCCAATGTCTGTGCCTGAGTCTGTGCTTTCTGAGCAGCCAGCTTTGACCCCAATTTCCCTTTATTGGCAGAGGCGCCTTCGGCGCGTTTCTATAAAGCCCCGCGAGTCAGCATACGCAGCCCTGCGCAATATATATTTCCGGAATATAAGATGTCATACCTGTGCAGCAATTGCAGCATTTGCGCGTGCCTCATCTGTTCCTGGAGTACTTCCATCTGTATTGCTCTCACCCAGAGTGCGACCAGGTGTAGCCTTCCAGTTTGTCTTGGCCGGAAGTGGGGCGCGGGGTGCGGCACTCGTCCCTGAGTTGGTGCCAACTACACGGCCTGCTTGGCTGAAAGGGTCTGCCTCATTGGAAGAACGGGAGCAGATGTTGCCCATGGTGATTGTGTAGTGAGAAGCAGAGACCGGAGGGTTTGTTGCGGTTAGTTTGGAGTGACGTAGAATAGGAAAGGACGGTTGATTAAAGTGTCGGCTACGCTGCCAAGTCGATATTTGAGGAAGTCAATTAAATGAAGGTCATCTGTAAGGTATGTTCTGCAACTGCTATGCTGGCTGTCAAGTTGTATGTTGTTGTTCGCGGGTCAACGCAAGTGGATGTTGGAGCATTGCGATAAGCTGATAGTCGATCCGGGGCAAAGGCGGTGACCGGAGTCCGAGGCTGATCTCAGTAGGGCAGGCTGCGCAGTTGGTATCGTAGCATACATTAAAGGGCAATATGAGTCAGTTTGGTAGAATTTACCAATTGATGTAACTTCTGCTATACACCGAACACAAACTGCAGACAGACTACCTGATTAGAGCGTCGGGCCAGAGGGGCAGAATAAAGCTTAGTCATAATCTGCCTCTCAAGGGGAAATCATCTCCGCGGGGGGAAAGGAATTCTTCATCGGAATGCTGGGGACAGTTCCCAGTTTCTATTGATCTCGACTCTCTGTTTCCTGCAGTTCTCAATCTATATCACATATATCACAAAATTTGCCGACGTTGATCGCCAAAGCACGCTCTACGATTCGCTCAAAAATCATGACGCCTAACCCCCAAGGTCCCCATCCTCTCCAGCGTCCCGAAGGTCCTCACGGCTACACTGAGGGGTCTCAGTCGACATTGAGCTATGCCCCCTGATCCTCTTCAAAGACTTTCGCTCTGATCTTGCTGCGACTCCAAGGTCCTCCTTTTTGCTTTTCCTGTCGATCCCGGTCAATTCTCCGATTACGCATATTCTCAACCAGTCCAGTCCAAGCGCATGACCCGATTGTGAGACTATACTGTGAGAGGATATTATTCGGCAGTACAACCTGAAATTCCTCTTGGGAAACGGCCCACACACTGGGTGGCGCTCTGCCTCGTGGTTACGGTTTCTCAGCAGGATATTGTACCTGGCCGGCATTCACTGTCCTACTTGCGATTGCACGCTGCTCGGTTCCTCGACTGCAATTTCCCCTTATCGATCGCCGTACACGCTGTTGTGACGACACTGTTCCTAGGCAACCCGGTTCGATTTCGACCCCGACACCTTCCCTCTTATCGTCTGAAGTGAACCGTGCACTATGGCGTCCCAAACCCAACAAGGCGATTTCTGCCTTGAATGCAACTGGGAAGCCTTCCACATTGATGGTAAGGCTACGGTAAATCCTACGGGTAATGCTCTTCAGCATCATTGGAACTGTTCAAGCCATGAGACCCAGACACCACTGCCCCCCTGCGAAGTCGACGAGGCCTGCTGTGATGTAGACGACTGCGCACTAGACTGTGGGTCAGCATGTGACGGCTTTATGGGCTGTGACACTTCCACTGTATGCTCAGTTACTCACTGCGAGAACGACAACTGCAATGATGAAAACTGCGACGATACCCACTGCGGCGAAGATCATTGTGATACCAACCACTGCGAAGAGGATAACTGCGAGGACAACCACTGTGAAAGTATTGACCCTCTGTGCTTCGAAGACCACTGCTGTGACGGTACTGTGGCTCCAGACTGCGGCTTTGATGCTCTTTTTGGACTCAACACCCCACTGTCGCTAGACACAATGTTCCCTTCCACGGTAATGGGAAATCACTCCGTTAGCCATGCGACAAAAGCCATGCAGCATCCTATCCCAGGTGTTGTCGGCCCATATCAACAAGAAAATTTTCGATCCTCGTATCAAACCCATGCCACTCACTGCGAGCAAGAGGTATCCAACCACTTCGAGTGCCTCGATTTCCAGAAAGATTGGCAAGGGATGTTCGTGGCGCCTCCTGTTCCCGCGCAGGCCGAAGTCAACCCAGCGGAGGTTTTCCACATGCTTGGTATGTGCTCTGACTTCTCGATATGCCAGGATCAACACGTACCTGAGCCCCAGAACGGTCTTGGTCCCTTCGACAAACCCAAAATCGACACATCAGACGCATTCAATTGCTTCCATCCTGAACATCATCATGTCCACAACCATTTCAAAAATCCTAATGATTTTAACCTGCAAACTTTACGCAAAGGACCTCACCGAAACCATCATCGCTGCCGTCCTCACACCCATGCTCATTCTCACCCATATTCCCCTTATTCCCGACAGTCTCGCTCAAGTATCAGCTCCCATTTCCTTCCCAGCCCAGGAGAGACCCCTCCACCTCTCGAGGGTGATTCCTCGTCCGTGCTTACCACGCCGGACTTTTCCCCGGCTGACAGTAAGCTGCATATCTGCAAGTGGGCAGCGGAGGTCAATGGAATCAAGGCTGCTTGCGGTGCGAAATTTGCCGATTGTGGCGCTCTTCAAGAGCACCTCGTTGCCAGCCACATGAATACCGTGAATGGTGCCAAGGGCAATGGGTACTACTGCTGCTGGGAAGGATGTCATCGTCCGGACGAGCCCTTCTCGCAGAAGTCCAAGCTTCAAGGCCATTTCCTTACACACAGTAACTGTACGTCATATATCATTACGCTATTCATTCGATCGGACAAAAGTACTAACACGAATGGTATCTCTACAGATAAAAATTTTTCGTGCTCAGTGTGTGGCAAGGCATTTGCTAGACAAGCCACACTAGACCGACATGAGCGCAGTCATCGTGGGGACAAGCCATACACGTGCAAACACTGCAATAAATCATTTACAGATAGCAGCGAATTGAGTATGTCGCCTTCGAACTCCTTCTCGAATCCACCGCTTACTATTTCAGAAACACATTCGCGAACCCACACTGGCGAAAAGCCTTTCAAATGCACCTGGCCAGGATGCAATTTCACCACGGGTGACGTGAGTTTCTCTATCCCCGTGTTATATACGCACCCATGTTCTAACATCAAACCAGTCTTCGAATATGTCTAGTCACAGACTTAGTATGATCCTCTTTCCATTTCGAACATTTGACTTAATTTACTGACCCCATCTAGCCCACGGAGAGCGAAGACATAAATGCCTTTTCCCAGGTTGCACTAAGAGCTTTACACGTCCTGGTACGTTCTATTATCTGAGTCTTGTTCCAATCCCCTGCATGCTAACATCAATTTCCCGTAGACCAATTGAAACGCCACCAGAGAACCACACACAAACAAGAATCATGCTTGTCACTCTCCTCGCCGAACCCCGAACACTTCACCATGACCCCCTTCTCTCTAGTCTAATGAACCACACCTTTGAACACATTATTGTATGCGATTGTCATGTCTTACGACCCAACAGACTACGGCGCTAATTGCGGCCAGGCGTACTCTGGATGGTTGGGAAACACTTTGTGTCTGGCGTTTTGCGGATTTTCAACGCCAACAAAACTTGATACCACCTGGCCTTGATGTTGCCGGGACTTTTCACCAATGATATAATTGAGATATTGTCTTAGATCATGAAGCGATCAACTCTTGATTGACCTGGGTCAACTATTTCCTATGTGATTTTATTATATTCTCATGTGCTTTCATGAGCTCGCACGTCAGGTATAACATTCGCGCCTGGGAAAAATAGAGCTTGAAGACTCAAGATGCATAATGCTTTATTTTATTTCTTTTGCTCACATGGACCATAACTACGGCCCGTCAGACGTGACCGTTCCTATCGATGTCCACTGCGAAGGTGTCTGCTCGCTCCACTGCCGACATAGTCTTGGATGCCATGTACACGCCTTCGTCAGATAGCTTGACTCCCCGTGGGGGAGGGACCCATTCTTGGTCGTCGCCCGAGAAGCCGTACTGGATAGAAATCGAGTCTGTCGCCATTTGCTGCTCGGTTGGCTTTGTGCCGAAGTCGACCGGCTCGGGCTCGCCATATAGCCACACGTCTCGCTCGTAACCGTCGTCAAAGTATTTTGCCTCTCATCGTCGGACTTTCAACCACGCCGAAGGAATTCGAGGCCTTGTTGGCCGTGGCCGACAAGTGTTCAAAACAGAATGGCTTGTTTTTTCGGTAAAATAACTTGCGAAGGCGCAGAATGGTCAAAGTCCGTCGTGATATTCTGGTGGACGGCCGACTGGGCCTTCCCAGCTGTCATCATCTCGGATAGGGATCCGAAATTCACGCAAGGCCTGTGGAGAGGGATTTTCCTGCTCATGCAAGTTGAACTTTTCTACACCACGGCCTATCACCCCCAAGCTGATGGCCAGTCCGAGCGGACGAATCGTTTTGGGTCCATCGCGCCAACCTACGTAAAATCCCTTATAAGCATGAGATTATTTCTCAATTTTCAATGGTTTCATGTACTCGCTAAATGGCCTACTCCAAAACACCTATAATATCTAGATCGCTCGTACATCCCGTAAGAAAGTCCAGTGCTACTATAAAAATCACTTTGTTATTATCTTTCTATCGGTCTTGTTTAAGGTCTTTCCTAGGGTCGTCTAGAATATGACCGCTAACTACACACCCCCTAACATTATTAGTGGAGGCACCTTTGATACGGAGGTATTGCTGCACTTGAGAGACTACATACATATATATATATGGATGTTGATGGCAGCTGGTTGACCTTCTGTTGGCGAAAAACACAGTTGGCGTGATGGATACAAAACCCTGCCGTATATAATATATATAAGTACCCAAAATATACAATTGCCGCATCCAGATATGGAGGCCACATAATTGTCGCACCTCAGCATTGGTAGACCTGAGTGCGAACAATCATTGAATAAATCACGCTCAATCTTCCGTAGCCCTCTGCTCAAGCGCCTCAACAGCATTCTTCAACTCCCGAATCCGATGTCCAACCCGCCGACGTACCTCATCCTTCACACCCTGCGGGACCTCTGCCGGATTGTACTGTGTCTCGACAATAGCACTCTCTCCGGCCTCCTCTCCAGCAGAGAGTAATTCATCCGTCTCATTTTCAACCTCCCCAGGACGAGCAGTGTAGAGGGCGTACACAGTGGACAGCTGGTTGAGAGCATCGCGGGCAGATTCGCGGTCTGAAGCAGCGTAGATGGTAGATGAGTCGGTGCTCTCCGTGGCAATTTCGAACTCGTCTTTGGCGACTTCGTAGAGCTCTTGGAGTTCCTCAACTAGGAGGTCCGCTTCGGCTTTGCCGGTGGATCCTTTTCGGTCGGCGTATGTTCTCGCTGTGGGTTTGGGAAGTGATGATCGGATTGAGGATCGCGATTGGAATAGAATTGGGCTAGCTCGTAGTTTGTTAGAGCTGGATAAGCTGTGTAAAGCCCGAGAGACCGGAACCAGTCGCTGTATGGAGGGTTGCGTGATGTGGTGCGATTGGATACCTCCAATGCGGAGGAGTGAGGACCCACGCACAGAGCGGATGTAGGGTATGGCTGACATTTTGAAAATATGTATGAAGGAAGTAAATCAAAGCAATTTGTGAATAACTTTCGAGAATGAAGCTGAGCTGTCATAAAAGGCCGACGATCGGTGATGACGTCGCCAGCAGCTTATCATTTCACGTGGTGATAAGAAACTGCTACTCATTTGGGTCTCCCACCAGTCTTACTAGTAACCCTAACTAACGTTGACCTTCCCCAGTCCAACTTTCAACGGGAGCCTAGTCGGAAATCCCAACACAACCTCATCATCCACAGACCCCGTCTTCTCCGATGCCGTGCTGTTCATACCCGGCCCCGAGTCCACTTCGCACGAGATAGGCTTTGTGAATAGTACCGCCTCCAGCACACGCTCTGTTGATTCCGAGGTTACTACGAATTTTGTGTGGTACGGACATTCGTTATTTGTTGAGAATGATGCAGGGGGGCATGAAGTCGCTCTTCTCGATCAAAAAGAGGGACCTGGTTGTGGGGGAGTACTCGCTGATGTGGAATGTTACTGATGCGAAGGATGAGGTTATCACTATTGGGATCAGATCTGTTGCGCCGTCGACGGATTAGAGATGACTAGGGGCATCACTGTACCCAAGCTTAACTTGAGACTTCGTCGGGGTGGAAGACCGTCTCTGGGCGGCAGTGAATGTGGTCTGTACTTGAAGTATCGAAGCTGAAATTTGAACTAAGTCTTCTTATGCACCTAACTAGAGCTCGGTTTTAGACAGCCAGATCGAAGTCTATTACCCTGGTAACATGCAACAGGTACACACAGTCCCCCTAGTTGGCTCATGCACCTACCATTGATCCATATGGTACGGGGTAAGCTCGTCCTCAACCCACATCATTGCCGCCGCCCTCGTCTGCCCACCCGATCTATGCCTCGGGTCATACCTGCGATGTGGGCGATGATTTCTTCAACTCAAGCACCATCCAAACACGCGACTTAGCCATGAGCAGTGTTGAATGTGGCGCGCAGAACATCCTCGCTGACGGAATCAACGGCGATGGATTTCCTGACTAGCTTCTCATGGCTCCGACACAACTCCCATAGACAAACGCCGAGGTCGTTGCCGGGGTACAGACGGTCATCACCTGGGCTTTACACCCTACAACGAGACTGAACACGGCCATTGTCCCCAGCGAGCTCCGAGGTTTGGCTATTGGTGCTTTTGCCTTCTCGTACATCTACTATAGTAACGGCAAGATTGCGACTAGCAATATTATCCCTAGCGCTTTACTATACGGTGGGGCCACCGCTACTAAGTGTCCCTTACAAACAGCTGTACAATGCGGCGCCAACTATGGTGTGTATTCGTGGGCGCCCCAATTATTCGACTATACCACGACCTGCTCTACCGTCACTAGCTGCGACGCACAATCGATGATCACGACGACAGCTACGCGCACTTTCGCCGCCGGTTCTATATTAACGAGTTCTCCTTCCGGGGGCAAAGGGCAGCAGGTCGCAATGGCCTCGTACATCAACCCCCTCGCTAATCCGGCCGCCTAGAATCGCTTAATCGTGTATAACTTAAACAAGATGCCTATCCTAGTCGCTAACTTGGTCAATAGGCCCGACTCGGCCGTCGACTCAGACTGGCAAGGCGTTATCACTCGAGGTGCAGGCTCTAGTAAGATCGTGCTCGGTTACGTGCGCACCGGTTATCTTGGTGTGAGCACTCAGACATTCAAGACATTAGGCTTCGGAGTTCTAGCCGAATAGACTGCACGCATCGAGGAGGACATTGATATGTGGTACACGCTCTACGGTGAAAACATCGGCGGTATCTTCTTCGACGAAGGATGGCCTGAATGTGGCGCCGACAACAAATACGCGGGCCTCTACAAGTATATCAACGACTACACCAAACGCACACACCCTGGCGCTTATACAGTCCTCAACCCTGTATCACCGATGGCGGCTTACTATGAGGTAGAAATTATGGTTATTGACTTATAGCCTGTCCGAGTGATGGTTAACTTATGGGTTTACCCGGTTCCTTTAAATATCTCGTGGTTAACATATATAAATATCGTCGGGCCGTCTATATTTCCATATATAATCATATTGCTAGGCTAATAAGATTAAATTAGTTATGTAGATAAATAAAAACACTCGGATCGCCGCGTACCCCTGGTCATTCTTATCTTTCGCTCGTTGAAAGCAAAAGTAAGCTACCAACTGCCTTTTTAGGAGATTTTACAATCCAAATTTAGAGTCTCGTTTTAGAGTCATGTTCTTGATACACTGTTATACCCTACAATTACTTATTCATACCTCTCCCAAGAGTACGGAGTAGAAAGACTCAATACAAAATGGAGGGTCTAAGCGTCTGCCCTAAGCTTTAGGCTGAATCCACTAGAAAATCAAGCACCGTCGGAATGCGTTATCTCTGTTTCTGCGTCCAATTAAATCCAGGAATACAAAAGAGGGCTCATCTTGCGTGTTTACAATGTCTTTTTCTTCACCAAATGTGCTGAGAGTGAAGATTTCTACCATGTCTTCCAAAGAGTTAGATATCGACACAATCAAACCCGCGCTCATCGGAGCGGATGAAGAGGTAGTCGAAGGCCGCTTAGACAAAATCGAGCTGGAAAAAGACGAAGAAATCACAAATGAAGAGTTCAGCTATGAATCGCACCGCTCTCCATTCCCTGAAGGCGCGTGCCCTATCTCACTGTTGATATATATATCAGTGGACTAATAATTACTATAGTTAGGGCTGTCGTTCCCGAGACGGATGACCCCGATATGCCGATAAACACAGTGCGGATGTGGCTCCTAGGGATTGTTTTCACCATGCTTGGATCCGGTATCAACCAGTTCTTTTCACTGCGTTATCCGTCGGTTCATATTGTGGCCCTAGTTGCAGAGCTACTTGCCTATCCGATCGGAGTATTCCTGGCGAAGACCCTCCCTCTCACATCTATCCGACTCGGGCCTTTGGGTACATTCGTGGTCAACCCGGACAGGTCGTTTAATATCAAAGAGCACGCGCTTATCGTTATCATGAGCAATGTGTCTTTTGGATATGCGTCAGCAGACGCGACGAACATTATCCAAGCTGCCAGCAAAAATTTCTACGATTTCAATCTCAAACCCGGCTTTTACGTGCTCATTGTTCTCGTTGCCCAGCTTCTTGGATTTGGCGTCGCAGGTCTCGCGGCTCCATGGCTCGTCGAACCCGCTCGCATCATCTGGCCAGGTGTGTTATCCAACTGCGCCATGCTAGAAACATTGCATTCGCGAGCGAACTCTGTCGTAAACGGATGGCGCATAACCCGTCTCCGATTCTTCATGTATGTCATGACCGGTGCTTTTGTCTGGTACTTCTTCCCCGGTCTTATGTTCACTGCGCTTTCCTATTTCACTTGGGTCTGCTGGATCGCGCCAAAGAACGTTATCGTCAACCATCTCTTCGGCATGCAGACAGGTCTCGGTCTGAGTCCAATTACCTTCGACTGGAGCCAGATCGCTTATAACACCAACCCGCTCCTCTCACCGTCATGGGCTGCATTGAATGTCTTCGCCGGCTTCGCGTTTTTCTACTGGATTGTCACCCCCGCCCTCTACTACACCAATACCTGGTTCACGGCGTATCTCCCACTCATGACAGCCGACGTGTACGATAATACGGGCGCCCTATATGATACCGCTCGAGTCATTTCTGCGGATAATACTCTAGATCAAGCGGAGTACCGAAAGTACTCGCCTCCATACTTGAGTGCGACCTTTGCCTTCGTATACGGACTTTCATTTGCTGCCATCACCTCAGTGCTCTCGCATATCGCTATTTGGCATAGCCGCGACTTGTGGGCTGCTCTGAAGGGCCGTAACAAGCTCGATATTCACGCTCGGCTCATCCGTGCCTCGTACCGTCGGACACCCTGGTACTGGTACGCTGGCATTATCGTTGTTATCATGGCAATGGCCATTGGGCTGGTCGAAGCCTATCACACTAAGCTTCCAGTTTACGGTGTCTTTCTCGCCTTGATTATCCCAGTTGTATATATGGTTCCCTGTGGTATTGTGCAGGGAATTACAAACGTGGATGCGAATCAGCTGAATGTCCTGGCTGAGTTCATTGGTGGATACCTGTTCGAAGGGAAGCCACTCGCAAACATGATTTTCAAGATAATTTCCACGGATGTCGTGGGACAGGGTGTTTACTTCGCTATGGATATGAAATTGGCTCACTATCTGAAAGTGCCACCACGTACCTGCTTCGTGGCACAGTTCGTCGCCACTATCCTAGGCGCACTCACCCAGGCGGGTGTGACACTCTGGATGCTTGGTAATATTTCGGGGATTTGCGAGTCTGACCAGGCGGATGGGTTTACTTGTCCAAATGGCCGGACTGTCTATTCTTCGTCTGTGATTTGGGGTCTTGTGGGGCCTCGTCGGCTCTACTCTGTGGGCGAAATCTATTCGCCTCTACTGCATTTCTTCTGGATCGGTGCTATCGCTCCAGTTGTGACTTTCCTCCTCTACCGTTATACCAAACGCCAGTTTTGGAAGTACATCAACTGGCCACTCATATTTGTCGGAACTTATAACGTCCCACCTGGTATGTCCCGCAGTCTCCTAGTGCCTTTTACTTTCCAATCGCTGACTTGAAGTTTTTTAGCCACTGGAATCAACTATTCCAGCTGGGCGCTGGTCAACTTTGCCTTCAATTACTTCATCAAACGGAAGTTCTTTGCTTGGTGGACCAAGTACAATTATATCTTGGCAGCTGCACTTGATACAGGCCTTGCCATTAGTGGCATTGTTATCTTCTTTTGCATCTCGTACCCTGGTGCCACTTTCCCTGACTGGTGGGGGAATAACGTGTACCTGAATACTGCCGATGCTCAGGGAGTAGCATACAAGTCTATGCCATATGTTGGATATTTCGGGCCTGCTAATGGGACGTGGAGTTGAGACGTGTGACAACAGTGCGTAAATCCATTATCATTTCAAGTGTCTAAACCCGCTATCCAAATGATTCCTGTCTCTATGACCATCTATATCTCTTCCCAAAACGTAATCATAATCCATGGTCTTCAAGCTTTGCTCATACTTCGGCGAAATTTGTTCTTTGAACCCGGTGACTTCCCCTTGAAGGCCTCGTCAATCTCCCCAAATGTCCGACCTTTTGTTTCATGCATGAAGATGACGCCAACAACGACTGTAATAACACAACATCCACCGAACAAAAAGTACGCACCGAAGCTACTCTTTGCAAGGAGCACAGGTGTCGTCAAAGCCACCAAAAAGTTGCAGACCCAGTTGCTTGAATGAGCCAATGTGGTAGCTGACGCTCGTGTTCTCTGAGGCTGGATCTCCGCGGCATATACTTTAACCGAGATACCCCAGGTGACAGAGTAAAGAGCGGAGAAAAGGTAGATGCAGACAATGACAACCCAGCGACCGGCACCAGTAGTCTTGTGGACGGTATTTCCAGCATAAAGACTGCCCATCAAAAACATCAAGATCCCCATTATAAGACCGCCATATATAATGCTGGCTCGGCGGCCCCATTTATCGGCATAAATCAGGCCTGGAATAGTGACAGCGAAAATCACAAGCGCTGACACGCCTGAGGCCAGAAAGCTTGCTTCCGAAGAGGCAAGGCCGGCCTTTTGAAATAACTGTGGAGCATACTATCGAGTTCAAGTCAGCAATTGTCAGTTGTAGCGAGTCATGGGTAGGGGTTTGAGCGCACATAAAGGACACCATCAATGCCACTCATCTGCTGCATGCCCATCAAAAAGACCGCAAGGATGGTCCGGCCCAGCACATCTTTGGAGAAGATTGCAAGAAGCTTATCCATAGTTCCATCTTTGACCTCTTCGTCAGAGCCAACTTCCTGTGCTCGCACTTGCAACACAACCTTCTCACGCTCTGCGCGACTAACACCCAATTTATCCCACGCCTCTTCGGCCATTCCATAGTGACCATGAAGGCCTAGCCACTGAGGCGACTCGGGTAAATAAAGAAGTGAAAGTGCGCACAGGATCATAGAGAAAGCGGCAAGGAGGATAAATGGCATGCGCCATGAGAGCGATGAGTGGAGGCCCGAAGTTCCATAACTGATAAAGTACCCCATGACCAAACCAAGGGTAGTTGCCAGTTGCGGGCCAGTTGTCAGGGCGCCTCTAGTGCTAGTTGGTGAAATTTCACAAATGAGAACGACAAGATTTCCAAGGAAAAGTCCTTCTCCAAGGCCTTCCACGATGCGGCCAACGATGAACATGGATAGAGCGACGGCTCCACCTTCTATTGCGGCTCCGACGCCAAAGATAAAAACTCCGATGCAGATCCCCTTCGGGCGACCAAGCCGATCGGCAACATATCCAGCGAAGAAAGATGAGATTGCTGCCGGAATCAAGATACATGAGACGATGAGGCCATGGATCGTGGAGTTTTGACTACCGAATGAGGTCTTGAAGTCCTTCATGTCGGTAACGGGTCCGATAATACCCGTATCCATCCCGAAGAGGATTCCATTTGCTGAGCATAGAATACATGCTAGGACATATTTCGGCGGATTTTTAAACTGGAAGGGACTGAATCCCATAACTCCGGCTTTTTGGGGTTTGATCGATAGGTCTGGGAAGATATTACCCAAGGACTCGGGTTGTTGAGAGTGTTAAGAAAGTATTTATAAAAATTAAGAAGAAAAGAAAACTCTTACCCCTCTAGAGACTTTGTTTCCCAATCCTCAGACCCACGTAGGGCAGACATTTCTGTCTACAAACATTTCCTGGATCATATGCATGTATCCTTCCATGCACCTATTTATATTCAACCTGAATCATTGCTCACTACTTCTATCTAACATGACTCAGTCTTGTACTTGCAAAAATGGCTAATTGTATAGACTGAGAGTCATATTGTACAAAATACACACAAAATTTTGTACCAGAAGACTAGACTTCGGAGAAGGGTCCTCCGGCGAGATTACCGTCTGGGCTCTTCACGGCCCGAATCGACGTGTGAGAGGAACAAGCGCCGAAGGATTTGTGGGCCGTCTCCCCATTGTGTATGTATCTCGGGGGATCTGGCGTTTTCCCCCTCGTTTCTGATTTTTTTTATGGGGCTTCCGGGGTTTGGCCGGTCGTTTTTATGGGGCCTAAGTTGGTAGACAGTGTCGGGTCTCAAAGCCCTAACCCGGATGCCAAGCCGGGCCGGATGGTTTGGTCAACATATCATATCCGTGGAATGTTGAAAATTTTGTATATGAATACTATGAAGCTGATTAAAAATACCAGACTTAGGTCATCTTTCACATTTGGATAAGGTCTTCGAGGGAAAGCAAAGATAATTTGCTTACCGATAGCAGATCAGCAATGTTCGTACTGCCATCCGGAGCTAGCATATACCCGCCAAGACCCTGCTTCAGATCTCTAATTTTCATCCGACGACCACTCACATTCAAGATATTACCGACTGCCGCATGGACTGCTAGTAGCGATGGGTCGGGAAGAGAATGGGCTGTGTCGTGATTTGTGGACTGAACGATCATATGCGCAGGTAGCATGTACCTGAACAGGCTACCGAATCCAGGAAATGTTTTGATTTTGTATCGATGAGTAACTTCTTCAAATCCAAGTTTTGTACGTATTATCAATGGAGTTATGTATGTATCACGAACTAAGGTAAATATTACTTAGTAGGCTGGCTCGGAGAATACGGCTGACTATGGTCGTATATCCATATCTAGGCCCTCACTAAAACAATTACCGAATTTCAATCGCACAACATCAATGCTAGTTAAATTAACTCTAACTTGAAACCACAAAAATTCAATACTAGGTATACAACTTCTGAGAATTTAAGCATTATCCGACGCTAACTGCTAATGCACTAGGCGTGTTAGAATTAATAGATTCGAGGGTGGACCCAATGGAAAAGACCGCTTTGGAGGAAATAGTTACTTGTTTGACATGAGTATCTCACGCGTCGTGTTGTGAAATGTGCAGATGCCAATATGGCTAGTGTCTAAGAAGAGATGATGGCCATTCGACTCGAGGACCTCGAGTGAGCATGTGAACTACCAAGGGAAGTCCACGACAAGCAGTAAGAATGAAATACGGAAGATCTAATCAGGACATATGTTCTTTCGCCAAGTTATAGGAGTTTTGAATTAGGACGTGTGGAGGGGCACTTGAGGCCACGAAAATTGAAGCCCTTTCTACGCATGTGCAAAAAACTAAAACGACATCACTGTTTCCAATTGTGAGCATCGAAGTCAAGTATGTATTTAGAAGATACCAATTACCGCACGCGCGTGCGTAAAGCAAATTCGCGCAGAAATTCCTCCGCCTCGATGTCATCTGAAGTATCAGAATGTGTGTCATCAGGCGCAAGGCAACATATCCCGCAGAAAACAGTATCTGGGCCCCCATGACTATAAGGCCGAGTAATTGATGTAGCCAGCCTTGCTGCAGTTGGACGCGATTTATGTTGTTCCTGCAGTGTTTGCTGTATCCAGACCAGGGCCACATTGTCAGAGAGATTTGCCGTCTGTTTCAGTTCAGCCAAAAGCTTTTCGAGCCCAGTTGGATTCGAGCGGACATAGGTCTGATATGACCCATGAGCTCCGAGAAAGTCATCCATCCACTTTATTGTCCTGCCTTTCAGGACGACTATCATCTCCAAGAAGACGACGCCCAGAGACCAGATATCGGAGGACGTGTTTCGAGGTTCCGACAGTGCGACTTCAGGAGCGCAATATCGCGCGGTCGAGTAATTCACCATCCCAACAGTAGTACTACCGGTGGCATCTTCAAAATCCAGTGACAGGCCAAAGTCAGTGAAGAAAATTCGCCCTTTATCAACAAGGATATTGCCTGGCTTGATGTCTTTATGTCGGATCTGGTGGTCATGCAGAAACCGAAGCCCGGTGGTGAGGCAACCAAAAAAGGTTCGCATCTCTGCATGGTTTGCACTACCGACTTTCCCCAAATAGTGACGAAGATCCTGCTCGGCAACTGGATGCATTATCACACTGAGGTATTTAGGGTCTGTGTAACTTCCCACAAATTCCACAATATGATGATGCTTCAGTTTTTTCATTGCCTCAATCTCCCCAATCATACCTTTCAAGGCCCCAACGCCTCGTCCACCAAACGCCAATTTCCGCAGAACTTGTTTTCTCGCGTATTCCTTGAAGCTGATCTGGCTCAGAATCCTGTCAACTTGACCAAACCCTCCGGTACCTAAAAGTCCTTTGCTCTCGAAGGGAAGCAAGTCGCCCCTTTCGAAATGACAGTGATGACCCTTTGCGCCCTTCTCCAGGTCCATTGACGGCGTTAAAATCAATTTCTGAGAATCAAGGAACAGCTTGCGCATCTTGGGTGATAGGCAATCTGGTACGCTGCGTTGATTGACAGGTAGCAAATAGTCAGAAAACTCAAGATCGATTAGTTCGTCGAGGTGATGCAAGCAATCAATCGTCCGTAGTATGATATAGGTGCGAGGGACACGGCTCCAAGCAAAATTAGTCTGTCGTAGTAGTGTAGATATGTGAGATATTTCAGAGTCACTGTAAGACTGTCGACTTTCCCTTGACGCTAGGAAAAAGGTGTTTAATCGGTCCCTCGACATGGTTTTAGTGTCATGCATCGGAGACAGTGAGCCCGGAGCAGACTGCACTTCCTGCGATTTGGCTGTAGTACCATGCACCAAAGGCACCTGAGCCAATGAGCCCGGAGGAGACTGCACCAAAGGCAATGAACGCGCAGGAGACTGCACTTCCTGCGATTTGGCGGTAGTACCATGCACCAAAGGCAATGAACGCGTCGGAGTCTGCACTTCCTGCGATTTGGCGGTAGTACCATGCACCAAAGGCACCTGAGCCAATGAGCCCGGAGGAGACTGCACCAAAGACAATGAACGCGTCGGAGTCTGCACTTCCTGCGATTTGGCTGTAGTACCATGCACCAAAGGCACCTGAGCCAATGAGCCCGGAGGAGACTGCACCTGAGGCAATGGACGTGCAAGAGATACAGAATGTGCAGGAGACTGTTTGCCCAGAGTTCTCTCACGGACATCTTCTACCTCTTGGAATATACTCCCTGCCTCCTGGTGTCTGTTCTGATCAAGAAGTAACTGTCCCAGCTCTAGTTTGAGGCCAAGCGTGATCTTATCATCCTTGCCTAGAAACGCATCACGGCCTCGTATTCTCTGACGCAAATTTTCCTCTGCTTCTTGCTGCTCAGATAGCTTTGTCTGAAGTTCCTCAGATAGCTTTATCCGAAGTTCAAGCTGTTTGCGGGCAGCCTTATCTTCATGGTCCTTTGCCATAGCTCTCTCACGGACATCTTTTACCTCTTGGAATATACTCCCTGCCTCCTGGTGTCTGTTCTGATCAAGAAGTAACTGTCCCAGCTCTAGTTTGAGGCCAAGCGTGAGCTCGTCATCCTTGCCTAGAAACGCATCACGGCCTCGTATTCTCTGGCGCAAATTTTCCTCTGCTTTGTGGTATTTGTCCTCATTTAGCACCATCCCTGCTAGCATATGTTGGTTAGCTGTTGGCTATTAGGTCTATCTCTATGATACCTGCCTGATTTCTTCTCCTGTCCATGTGCGGTCTTATCAAATGGCTTGTCAGCCTTCTGGGGCTCGTTCCGCAACTGCCACTTTGTATTTGATAACCATTGGTTGCTGGCAAGGGTATCTTCATGGCCGCTACCCAGAGTGCTCTCACGGGCATTTGCTACCTCTTGGAATATCCTCTGTGCCTCCTGGTACTTTCCCAGCTGATATAGCGTATGTGCCAGCCAGGATTTGTTGGTAAGCGTGCGTTTATGATCCTTGCCGAGGGTTCTCTCCCGATCATGTACTACCTCGTCGAACAGCTTTTCAGCCTCCTCGTATTTCTTCTGACTATACAGCTTTTCTGCCCTCGCCTGTCTTCCCTTGAACAAGCTCATTGTGTGCACATGTGGGTTTTCCCCGATAGGTTCTAATCACAGTATGGCGCCGTGTGGTATGGGGTGAAGCGGGGGCAAGAAGCACCAGTTATTCTCCACGAGGGATCGGGTGTGGAAAAACAGTCGGCAATTTTGGTCGGGGCTCCAAAGTCTATTGTACATGGTTTAGCACACAGCAGTATCAAATCTCCAGGAAGCACTTACAGTCACGCTGTACGATAGTACTCGATCGTGTGTATTATCTTGATGAGTGTTGACCATCGGAGCTCAGCTGTCCACCTGTGCCCAAGTGCACGCCAACCATGCTTATGTCATAATATCTCTGGCCAATCTTAGTTAATCACCATGAATGTACGGAGGTTGGGCCAAAAGAAAGAACAAACAATGTTGCTTTTTCCTAAATTACTAGTACGCTGTATGCGATGGTTCGGTTGAATGTAATTTATTATTCATTACACATAGGTTGCTCTCATCACTCGAACCTTGGAATGTTTGAGTATTTCAAGCCACTCGAGCAGCAAAAGCTTTGTCAGAAAGGGTGTTCAGATACAACGTGTGTGTGCATTGAGCTATTGATAAACATTTTGGCTAAGGCTAGGAAGTAGAAGGCGTGGAGAAGATAGGTAGACCCACAGGCTCGGGGTCACTCGACGAACGAGTCTCGGCTGGGCGTATTAGCCTGTATTAGCTAGGTTAAATTGGGGATAGCGGAAAATTAAGAAAAAGCAATATTATAACCGGTCCGTCGAAACCCAACGCAACACCGGCAGGTGTTGGGTTTAGACTGCGACATCGCCCGTCCACGGTGGGCGGTGGGCTATTTGGATTTTCGAGTGCCCGTCTATTATCTACCGGTGTCGGGTTTCGACGGACCGGTTAACCTTCGCAGGGAAGAGGCTTAAAACCAACCCCGCACGCAATAACCAATATCATCAATAGTTCACGCTTGATAGATCATTTTTTATCTCTTCGGCGCTCACAAATAATTTCAAATTTACGTTCTTCGGTGCTTTGTCCAATCCAAGTTTCAATTATTTTCCCATCATGGCAGACCCTCTATCTATACTGGGTGCGGCAGTTGGTGTAACATCTTTAATTATTCAGACATTTGACGAATGTATCAAAGGTACAAGCATCATATTTGGTATTGTACCATCACCGCTAACTTCTTCACCAGCATATCAGTACTACGCGAAGGCGGTAGGCATGCCAGATGAATACCGCTACTGCAAGATCCGCCTCCAAATGGAACAACAGCGCTTCCTCAACTTTGGGCTTGAAGCCGGAGTCCTGTACACTGATGGCACTCTGTGTGAGACACTCCGAATCAACAGTTCCTTGCTTCTGGCAGTGCTTGCTGAGATAAAAACGCTCTTTGAGGAGTATGCAAGAAGGAATGGAAAATATGAGGAAACTCAAGGTGAAACTAGATGGGGTGATCAGGGGGAACCAGAGACTGATCTGGTCACTCTAATATACCCACCTTTGGACCATTCAAATAGTCCCGCGTTTGTCTCTGACGAGAAAAAACATCAGCGCTTGAAAAAACTTCGCAAGGTAGTGCAAGGGATAGTACAAACTGGAAAAAATCTTCGCACTATTGCACTGGAACCCAGACGCTTAGTATGGGCAACTGTGGATAAATCAAGTTTCGAGAACGTCATTGCGAAGCTTGGGGCTCTCAACTCTTTTCTTATATGTCTTCTGGACAGTGCGCGAGTCGAACGATTGCAGCTTACTATGGATACAAGTTATAACGAGATTCTGCAAATTCGTGACGATATCAAGGGGTTATATGGATTAGTCAAAGCGTTGAGTACTGGGACCGATGAGAGAGATTCCTCCCTAGGTGGAGCTACCTTGCACGGCAATCGTATTCAGCAACCATATTTACAAGAGATGGAAACACAGAGGAAGAAGCAAAGGTACCTCAAGAAACTCACCGAGGTAAAGATACAGTACAAACAGATTGGCGGTCAGATGGGCGCAGAGACTGTTATATCAGGCCGGAAGCCGTTAGATCTTTCGCATTTTTCTTTCAACTCTCCAGCCATTGATCAGGGGTTCCCCGAAAGCCATATTTCTGCGACTTATGACAGCCGAAATGTCTGGATTGAATGGAGCAGCTACTCTTTCAACGAGCCCTACTATTTCAACGAGCCACATGCCGACTCGGTCAATTCCAGACTTGAGGATCGAATTCGTCTCTTGACCGATCTCCTCTGCGATGAAATACCAGCAGCCTTTCGGTTGCCACCCTGTCTTGGGTACCTTGCGTTTGACCACAATGACCAAACGTGGTTTGGGATTGTTTTCGAGAAGCCTCCATATCGTGCCATAACGCAAGTTGTGACACTACGACAGCTTCTCCAGCAACAACCAATACCCTCACTTTCCACGCGAATCTCTCTGTGCGCTACCCTGGCTCAGTGTGTCCACACCTTCCATGCTGTTGACTGGGTCCACAAGGGGCTGCGGAGTGAGAAGATCGTCTTTTTTCACAACCACTGTTGAATCTTGATCTTAAAGAACCGTTCGTGCTAGGATACGAGCTATCTCGACCTAATATCCTCGATGAGTTGTCTGAGAAGCCGAGATTCAATCCCCGTGAAGATATCTATCGACATCCGTTCGCACAGTCCTCTCAAAACAGCGGAGATTACCGCAAATCGTACGACATATACAGCCTCGGTATTTTGCTGATAGAAATAGCAACTTGGAAGCCAATTCATGCGTTCCTTGATTTCGACAATCTGGATTCTGCCATGCCTTCGGAATTGATCGCTGTCCAAAAGCGGCTGCTCAACGAGGACGTTTTTGACAATTGCTTACAACGTATTTCCAGTCAACTTGGTGACTCATACAAGGAAATTGTCGAGCTGTGTTTGCGCGCTGATGAGGTGGAGAGACCAGTATATGATGGAGAGTCTGGAATCTCGATAGCAGTTCGACTACAGAGGACTCTGGAGCAGAACATCGTGAGAAAGTTGGGTGACATGGAAAGAGCGATGAGTTCAAGTCATCCCTTATAGTTAGCCTATCGGAGAACATGGAATAGTCCGAGGTCCCTAGGCACATAGTCGGTCTTTTGATCCAGCTGAGACATTGAACATTCAACACATTTTCAAAATCGCGGCATCTAGCTAAACTAAGTTCAGAAACCATACACATCAAAGATGGGCTTCCCAAACACCCTTTTCACTTTCTTTCAATCATTGTAAAGATAAGTACTCCGCGGTGTGGATAATGATAATTACGCTGCGCATTGACCACATTCTCATCATTGACCTTCTCCACCTTTCTTGCAATGCAGTTCTCCATCTAATCGGGGACAGAAAGCCTACAGAATTCAAGCTTCACTCTTACGATTCTTACATCTTTCACATACTTCTTATTGTCGGGCTGTCGCATTAACAAATAATCTTTAGCACACCTATATTAGTATCCGGATAAGAAATCTTTTAAAGGCTAACGAAGCTGAACAAATTTTTGCTTTACGTCTTTAATACAGTGACCCCTAAGCCCTCCATATTAAATAGCGAATTGATCCCATCCATGGATAGTATTTGAAGTTAGGGTTGAGCGATTACCTAGATACGGTTCGGCGACGGGTGATTCGATCATGTCGTGATATATATGTATGCTACCTAATGTTACCTAATGTAATGGGGACGTATGTAGCATAAGAATGTGTCAGGTTTCTTAGCACTTAGCTCTTAGCTTTAACAACTCTCAACTCTCAACTCTCAATGAATCTCACATTGAACAATGCACTTCATCATAGTCTCCTTCTGACAGAATAGTTGGCCGCTTGTGCGGCCTTGTGATATATTTTTAGAGGTCTTTTCAGATATTCTCCTTAAATCTTTTTTCAAGATACTTATTTTCTAGAGACTTGATTTGAGAAAACGACCTCTCCATGTATAACTTGGGATGTATCCGATTGTGTAATTTTTTCAGGCATTACTAAATAGCCCTGTCTTCATCCAGGTATGTATTTACAATAGTGACAGATAGATGGTCATTCATACACTCTTTTCGCCCTCATGTTGGACACCGAAGGGGATAGCTGTGCACTACGCCCTGTGTGGGTGTGTTGGTGGCTACCTCAACCCATCTTCTCCTTAGAATTAGCGTAAATAGTCTATTCTCATACCTCTGATCTTCTATATCAATAGTATTTCCGCATTTTTATGTCATACTCCGTAGCACCCTAAAGGGCCAGTGCATGCCCCTCTTCACTAGGTACGTAATAGTAACGTATCTAACCATATCTAAGCCCCTTCAACGTACCCTTCGGAGGCTTAATCTCTCTATTTTATCATCTTTCAAACTTGTCCTTTCCAAATCTTTCAGTTTTAACCAGAGCTTGCACTCACTATGGCTGATGATGACCAGTGGACACTCTCTACATCCATTGAGTCCGTAATGATCGGGCTGGGAATTGGAGGATTCATCGTTCTTCTATTCATGGCTATATATCTAGTTGCCAAGAGCATTAAACAGCGACGTGGCTCAGGCGCGAAAACACGCGCAGACGATGAAACGAATTTGCTTCAAAATCCGCGCAATACTCTCCCCGCCTTCGCCAACATCCCAGCCACTCCAACCGTGACAACCATGCCTGGGCACGCTATTTCTGATATGGATCGAGATATCAAGTTCCAAATCGCAAATTGTCAGCAGCTACAGCGCCCCTGAAGCAGCAACATATTGGAATCAAGTCGGCTTATCTCATTCGACCGACCGAGCGAGATGAAGGCCACGAAACATTTCAATTGGACTTTTTTGCACTCTACTCAAGAGCTGGAGTTTGTCCCGCCTAATTATGGGGTTTCTTCTGTGTTTTCTTTTTGAAGTGCGCTTCCGGGTGATATGCACTGAGCTTTGTTTTCAGATCTTGTCTGGTAGCTGAGTTAGACTGAAACCCTTGATGGGAGACAGCCTAGCTTAGGCTAAAAGTTAAAGGCTTCGGCGTCGCCTTACCTAGAACTGTTGATGAAAGTTTTATAAAACTTACAATTCGGGCTCTTCGTTTCCGGCCCTTTGTTTTACCAGGTGAAATACTATTTAAGAAGGCGTTCAAAAACATGTCACAAAAGGGAGGCGATGATACCTTTGAGAGGAGCCTCCCAGTATATCCCAATTGGGCAAGCGATTGCTAGTCCATCCCGAGGTCCTTTCCTTGCGATACGTAATATGTCTGACCCTCCAGCACTACTATGTTATAAATGAGATTGTTCATTGTGCTAAAAACAAAGCGGGCGTCGCTTTGTCGTCGTGGCGCTTTGTTGTTCGCACGGCAAGATCAATGACACCTCTTTTTATACACGTGAACAATAGCCTTTGTTCCAGTATTTGTTCTTTTAGTAGAATCGAATAAGTGCCGACTCGCATAACTTAAATACTGTCTATGCTCCCTTTTCGAGTACTCTCACCAAGGAAACTCTTTAATTGACTTCAAAATCGACTTGCACATTATCCAAATGCTTCACTCTGCCATTTATCGGATTTTGCGAATTTTCTTGGTCACCCTTGATTTCTGGTTCAACACCGATCAGTCCTCCTTCCCCCCAACCAAAGTCCAAAAGAGCGGTAAGAGCTCGAAATCCATTCCGCTTGAGAACCTGACTCCGTCGCCTAGTTATCAACAATCCAAAATGTCATCTTCTGACATAACCGATCTGGAAAGCTGGGAGGTAATCTACAAAGAGGGGTGCCTTAGTTTCAAGGCTGGTCTAGAGACACAAGCTCAGATCCTGAGAAATGACCCGGACGGCCAAGGAGTAGGTCGTATCAAGAATGTCCGTAAAGAGCTAATCTCACTTTCTCATCAGGCAGAGAGAATCAAGGAGGCTGCATTTGAAATGGTCGACGAGACCCCGGACAGTGTATATGTCCGCAACGCAACCCCCGAGTGGCTTTCCTCCCGATTTGGAGATCCACATCTGGAACAAGTATGTATTAGCATGGAATACAGCTTGGATCGACTGGCGTTTGAGCTTAGATCCGACCCGTCAATGGACCTGTTGGTCGCCGGACATCTTGAGCAAATGACCGATGATATTGAAATGGACTTTCTTTAGATAGTGCTAATGCATTTATTCAATTTTTTGTGACCTATATTGGATCTTTGAAATTGTAATATTGTTGGCGGTAACATTGACGCGTCGGTTTGGATCGGCTCCCGAATCATAGGGTGATGAATCGCAAGGAATGGTGTTTTTCCTCGGAGGGCAATATCTACCTTCGTTGATAGTCAACAGTGTCCTGCATCGTAATTAAAAGAAACACTGTTCCGTACATACAATCGGTATATGACACAGTGTATTTGGGGTCCACCATAGGAAATACGCCAAGACTAAACCATCCCATCCATAACAGGAAAACAACGATGAAATGCAATAGATAAAGAAAATACATATTTATAATCATTGCGGCCGTGCCCTTGGCCAGAGAAGTAAAAGACCATGATCACAAGCATATTCTTACAACATATGTGCGGGTAAAAGTTTGCTGTAGAATGATCATCCAAAGATCCATTCGCTTGCCTGTTAACACATATCCGGTAGCTTCACTGCTACCGGCGCAATGTCCATCCAGAATTCCTCGTCAAATTATTCAGGCTGAAGGATCGGTATTCCACAAGGTGGTAGAGTTTCACCGGGCTCTATCTCGCGGGAACAGCTTTTGATCGTTGAGGGCGAGGAAATTCTCGCAATGGACATGCCAGAGCCATCATCACGCCAATTCAGCAGGCGGGGGCTTCGGCTTCTCTGATCCTGGTAGCTCTGGAATGCTTTGGCCGCTCAGTTCTGTGATCCGATTACCATCACTCAGTTCTGTGATCCGAGTAGCATCACTCAGCTCCGATACAGGGACTGGGGGACGTTCGGTAGATTGGCTAGCTTGAGCTTGCTTCTTTCGGCGACGTAATAAAAGCCAGACCAGCGCAATCAAGATGGCGACGCCACCTACACCACCAACCACACCACCCGCGATTGCCCCAGTGTTATTCTTCGCGTTGTTCGTGTCTGTCCCTGAAGTCGACGAGACTGCCGTAGCTGTAGGCGTAGGCGTAGCCGTAGCAGTATCTGTGACACGGTGCGTTAGAATGTGAGAAAGGATTGATCCACGATGTTCAGGAGTTGGATCTTTGGCGAGCATCAGGGCCAAGGCTTACTCGAGCTTGTAGAGGTAGGTAAAAGATATTGGCTAACTGGGGGAAGAAACTCCACCTCTTTCAGGGCGTATTTGTATTCTGGTTTTACGCAGCCCACATTATTGTTGGCGGTTTTACGAAACCCGCGAGTACCATCTGCACAGCAAAAGTTACCGTCGGTTTCTTCAACAAAGTAAAGAACCGCTGTATGATCTGCGCAGCGCGCTTTACGACGTAGCTTGCTGCTGCAATCAAGCTGAGTCGGGCAGCATATTGGTAGTACGCCTCCAGGGCTTGTGGTATATGCCGGACAACATCTTTGAAATGGGCCCCAAGTTGGACCGAGGATCGTTTCGCCGGTCACACATGTGCCATTCCGGCGTATGGGATAGCCCATGAGACTCTCATCCTCGGAATCTGTGGACATTTTAACCAAAGATTAATCCTGCGAGACCTGAGAAAGACGAATGGTAAATAGGGGATTAAGCCAGCGGGGAACGAGGACGTCCTAAGTAACTGCCAATCTTGGAGGGATCAATGCGCCTCTAGTCCCTTGGTGCTGTGGGGGCCACACTAGCGGCTCCGTTTCATATATAATTGTCTCCCATAAAAGGCATAAAAGGCAGAGAAAGGAAAGAAAAACTGTCATTAGGCAAGATTCTCTAATATATGTACCTATGGCCATTTAGCCAAGTGTAAAAACATTTTAAAATCGTCGCCTTGTGGTCATAACACAGGACCCTGAACGCCAAGCGTCACTAGTTTCCACATGGCTTAGCTCCGGGGCTGCTAAGCACAGTGCGGATATAATTGGCACTATGTCTCCACAGAGGCGGTTTAGGATCTTCATATTATGTCCTGATTGATCCAAGGCACACTACGAAGACATATAGGACTCAGGGTTCAAAACCCCCTGTATAAACGATTTGATGCCTGAGTGCCTGACTTAAGAACGGCGGAAAAATTAAAATACCTGAATTTCTATTACATTTGCCTTAGTAATTAAAGTAACCTGATTCCGCAGGCGTTTACAAGTGTCAAAAATGAAGCTTTTGATCTCATACAAATGGTAGTATCTCCATGTTATAAGTGATTTGCAAGTTTCAAAATTGAAGCCTTTGATCTCTATATTACTGGCGGTTAAAAATGAAGCTTTTGCTCTCCATTCCTACTATACAAATTCCTTCAGTTGCATTTTTGACACTTGTAAACCGTCTAAGAAAGTGGAGATATCTCATTTCGTATGTAGATGAAAAGCTTTATTTTTGACTTGTAAAACAGTCCAAAAACATGGAGATACTCCCATTTGTATGAAGATGAAAAGCTTCATTTTTGACAGCTACAGTATAATAAATTTACCATACACTGTATAGGGCGGTGTGAAAAGCGGTGCCCAACAAGGCATTCAGGCATCAATTTCCTGTCGGAGCATACAGACCGGCATACCGGGGATTTAATTAATCCAGGTTGTGCAGTAATTTTGAATTAGTAATCCGTAATCCATATAAATTGCTAGGAAAAGGGATACTGAAATACAGAGATTTTAACACCATTGATTGGACCCATACATTTCAGGATACCAGTGTATTCGACAGTTATGAGCCCGGTTCGCACCCAGTAAGGCCACGATCACCAAAGTATAGGGCCGAACACCCCCCAAAGCTATCCCCAATAGCCCCTGAAGCGGTACAGCAACCCCTGAAGCTATCCCTATAGCACCCAGCGCTGTATGGCAACCCTGAATCCATCAATGGAAGCAGCATCAATTCTCTCCGCCATGAAGGGCGATAAACTGAAGGACTCGCCGCAGTGGCTCACTTGGTATGCTCGGGTGCAGCTATATGCGACACAGAAGAATGTTTGGGACCACTGTGATCCCAATACCTCCCCTACTGAGAGACCGGAAGCTCTGAAAGAGCCAATTGAACCGGAATACCCAGAGGATGGGAGTGAAACTGATCGGAGATATTGGAGAGATCGTATGGATATATACAAATTGAGATATGCTCGATGGGAGAAACAGGCGAAAGGACTGAGCGATGTAAATGAATATATCCTCACCTACCTGGATTCAATGCACCATCTCAATCTGATAGGACATCATACACCGTATGACAGATTGGTATACCTGAAATCTCGCTTTGCTCGGTCGACGGCGTATGAGGAGGAGGTTCGAATGAAATGGAAGGTCTTCGCTATGCAAAAACCGACGGGGGATATTGAGCTGTGGCTACAGCAGTGGAATTCCCTAAGAGAGCAAGCGATCAGCCTTGGTATCAACGTTGGAGATGCCAATAGGGACTTCCTACACGCAGTGAAAGAAGTGCTTCCTATCTGGTGGCAGGGTAAATACCAAGAGATTGTCATCGACAAGAAGGTGTACGATACCCGAGATCTCATCGAATCTTTTCGCGCAATGAATAGAGAAATAGGGGTGCTAAAGGTATCATCAACCTCGCCCCCGAAGAGCGCCTTTTCCACCTGGCAAGGGCACCCAGAAGCTAAGCCTGAAGCCAAACCCCAGGCTTCACAGGCTTCACAAGAGAACCTACCCTTCGAAAAGAGGAAATGCCCCTGTGGTAACACCCATCCTAAGCATAGGGTCACCGAATGCTGGGTTTTAAACGAGGAAATTCGACCGGAAGGGCTGAAAATCAGCGAGAGGAAGCTAGAGAAAGCAACCCAGGTGTTAGCAAAGAACCAGGCCTGGAAGAAATGGGTGGAGAAAACCATAGCAGAGTCAAATCAGCTAAGGCAAGCCGAAGCCGCCAACCAAGTCAGCTTTGCGACCACCGTCCAGCACCAAAAGGATAAGCAGCAAGGTGCGGATCAGAAGAAGCAAGAAGTGATTAGCCAGCGTGCCCTATCCCTTGCTAAGGAAAGCGATCCTATCCTAAAGAACCGCTGGATTTTAGACACCGGTTCTAGCTCCCATGTGTGCAATAATCGAGATCTCTTCGTCCAATATACCCCAAAAACCACCTACCTCACCACTGGAGACAGCACCACCGAAGTGCTAGGGAAGGGTACGGTTAAATTGATTGGAAGACACCCAGTGAAAGGAAGAATGGAGATCACCCTAAGCGATGCCCTGTATTCGCCAGGATTCCACACAAACCTAGTATCGTACTCGATGCTGATGAAGAAAGGGGGGATATGGTGCCAACGTACAAACTGTATCCGGGACCCCAACGATAGGCCAGTCGTCTGTGTGAACCTATGGGATCAATTCAACCTTTGGATATTCGACGAACCCCGGGAAGCACCGCCTCAGCAAGCCTATTTCACACAGAGGAAGTCAGTGGAACCCCTAGAAACAAAGGCATCAAGCGAGCTATGGCACCGGCGATTGGGCCATATTGATCGTAAGAGGATGAAGAAACTCACCACTATGGTGGAAGGGGTTGTCCTCGATGATGAAGAGAAGAAGTCCACCGAGCAAGAATCCCTATGTCAAACCTGCCACTTAGGGCGAGCACCTAAGCAGATATCAAGACGACCAGTTGGACGCACCTTTGGCCGTTTTGGAAGGGTCCATTTTGATCTAATCCAGATACAACCAGCATACAATAAGCACCGCTGGATATCCCACTTCTATCTAGAAGGACCGAGGTTTCACTGGATTATGACCCACGAACTAAAGCCTGAGTGCCAGCTAGCAATCAATCGCTTTGTGGAACTAGCAAGGAACCAGTGGAAGCTGCCAATCAAGGCATTCCACTATGACAATGAGTCCTCCGCCGGAAACACCGCCGAGTATAGCCTCAGCTCAGATGGTATCCTGATATATCACACTCCCCCTGGGCACGCTGAGATGAATGGGTATGCTGAGAGATCTGGCGGGATGATTATAAGCAAAATGAGGATGCTTGCGCTAGAAGGGAAGCTGCCAAAGGACCTATGGCCGGAGTTTGCGAGAGCCGCAGTATGGATTTTGAACCGTACGCCGTCGTATATCACCGCCGAGAATCGCTGGGTCGTGCCGTGGGATGAGGTACGAAAGGAGTTTGCACCGCAAGCACCTAAAATCAACCTATCCAATGTTAGATTGTACGGGAGCTTGGCCTATTGTAGGATTGAGAAGCAAGTGAGAACCGACAAGATGAATCCACGGGCGGAGATTGGTTTCTTGGTGGGATATGTGGCATCAAATATCTGGAATATCTGGTTTCCACATAGTGGAAAAGTGAAGCCTATTAGGGACGCAGTCATCGACGAAACACGGAGATACACCCCTGATTATGAGAGATATCAGCCAATTCCTATGCCAATTGTACAAGAACCACAGGAACTCACCGCCGACGAGGTTGTCAAGGTGATAAATCAACTGCTTACTAGTCAGGAGACTAGGGAGCAAGAGGAAAGGGATCCACGGGATCTAGATGACTCCCAGCAACCAGATACCCAGCGGAATCAGCAGCAAAATCCCCAGCAAGAAGGGATAAATAGGGAGACTACCCCACTTCAGGGGGTGAATCGAGATATATCAATACCCTCACCGATAGTCTCACAAGCGATTCACCGAGTCCCCAAAATCCAGAAACCTCAAGCACCGCCAGGTGCTTTTCCAAGCGACGAAGACCTTCCTCCGCTGCCGATTACCCCGCCCCAAGAACGAGAATCCGAAGCCGATGCTGGCCCAGGTCAGGGGGTGGATATACCAGACGGAGACCTGACCCACCACGAAGCTATTTCTGAAGCTATTTCCGACGTGGAAGATGAGCTAGAAAGGCAGCTACAGGCAGAATTGCTAGCACCAAGCAGGGAGATCACCGGTGGAATTGACGCAAGCAATATTATCAGCGGCAAGCGAAGACGTCAGGCGAGACGAGACCAGGATTTCGCCTACTCCACTTTGGCTACAGAAGAAGACCCGCCAGGAGTACGACACGCCTTTGCAGCAGGCTTATACGCTGAGAAGCCAGAGATCCGGCGTCATCGAGATGATCTTCCACCAGTCCCTAAGCACTGGAAGGATGTTATGAATCATCCTTTCCAAGAAGGCTTCCTCGCAGCAATGAGAAAGGAGATCAATTCCTTAACCGAGAAGGATACCTACGAGGTTGCAGAAAGGCCAAAGGATAGAGGCAAGCAGATACTCCCCTTGCTATGGGTCTTTACGTACAAATTTGATGAAGATGGCTATCTTATCAAGCTAAAGGCTCGTATCTGTGTACGAGGAGATTTAGAAACCATTTCTCATGAAGAAAAGAGGGCTGCCACCCTAGCAGCAAGGACAGCAAGGATGATCTTCGCCTTAGTCGCTGCCTTTGACCTCGATTTAAGACAAAGAGATGCTGTGACGGCGTTCCTGAACAGCAAATTGGACAAGGATATATACACTTATATGCCTGAAGGTTTCCAGATTCCAGGCAAGTGTTGGAAGCTCCGCCGAGCTTTGTACGGTCTACGAGTCTCGCCTAGGCTATGGCAACAAGAAGCAGCCAGCGTACTCCGTAAATTAGGGTTACAGCAAGCACCTGAAGACCCATGTGTTTTTATAGGAGAAGGACTACTAGTCTTCTTCTATGTGGACGATATCTTGATCGCCAGCCACAGATCTGTACGGGAGAAAGCAAAGCAGCTTGAACGAGATCTAGAATCCCACTGGGAATTGACTGATCATGGAGAAGCAGCTTGGTTCCTAAATATCCGAATCATCAGGGATAGGGAGCAGAAGAAGCTATGGCTATGCCAAGATAGCTATGTGACAAGCATCGCGACTCGGTACAATCTGATAGATAGACCACCGGTTTATACCCCACTACCAGTCGTCGATTTGACCCCATTTCAGGGGGTGGCCACCCCGAAAGAGACCCTTCTTTACCAGCAAAAGGTGGGATCTGCTGGGTATGCCACCACTATCACGAGGCCCGACGCCGCAAAGGCCACCGCACGCCTAGCGCAATACCTAACAAACCCAGGTCCCCAGCACCAGCAAGCAGCTGATCGGGTGATATCCTACCTACATTCCACCCGGTGTCTTGCCATTGAATACGGTGTAGGTTCGGGGATAGACTCGGTGCAATTCGCAAGTGATGCTTCGTACGGGGATCATTCTGATAGAAAGAGCTCAGCTGGGTATATCTGCCAAGTGTACGGTGGCCCAGTGGACTGGAAGGCGAGCAAGCAACCCACAGTCACCACTTCCACCACCGAAGCCGAATTACTCGGGCTTTCCGAAGCAGCAAAGCAGCTTCAATGGTGGAGGAGACTACTTAATACCCTTGGTTTCAACCCCTCCCACGAATTGACCATCGATTGTGACAATGAGAGAACTATCAGCCTATTGAAGAGCGAGGATACAGCCTTCGAAACAAAGCTTAGGCACGTCGACATCCATCGCCACTGGCTGAGACAGGAAGTCAAAGAAGGGAGGATACAGGTGAAATGGGTGCCCACAGCAAGCATGGCAGCCGATGGACTCACGAAATTGCTTACTCGGCAAAAGCATGAAGCCTTCATTCAAATGCTTCATATGGTGGATATAGGCCACTTGATAGCATGAAGAAACAGAGATCAGTATGCCGAGGTGTGTGGGGTTCCAGCAATCCCATACTGGCATCGCTGAGGGGGTGTGTCGGAGCATACAGACCGGCATACCGGGGATTTAATTAATCCAGGTTGTGCAGTAATTTTGAATTAGTAATCCGTAATCCATATAAATTGCTAGGAAAAGGGATACTGAAATACAGAGATTTTAACACCATTGATTGGACCCATACATTTCAGGATACCAGTGTATTCGACATTTCCACCTACAAAAGGGGTTTTGAGCCCTGAGTCCTATATGTCTTCGTAGGCACCCATTTCTGTCTGAAGGCGGTCAAATTATATTAGGGATAGATCAATGACCTTCAATTGGCTCGCAAGCACTCAGTAATTAGGGGTGAGGAAAGTCTCGCCGAACTGTACATGCCAGGGCTATCATGACGCCAATTCAGCAGGCGGGATCCGCTTCTCTGATGCTGGTAGCTCTGAAATGCTTTGACCGCTCAGTTCTGTGACCCGGGTACTATCACTCACGCCCGATTCAGGGACCGGGGGACGTTGGGTAGATTGGCTATCTTAATTCATCCAAGCCACTCATTGTTGTTGGAATGTGATCAAATTACATTCAAGATAGCCGCGATCTTGAATATAATTTGACCGCAATCACCCGGTCGATAGGGTTAGCTAGTAAGCTTGGGAGCCGCACGGCGTAGCGGTGAGAAGAGCAACTCTACCTCGTTTAGGAAAAGAATTACTTTTTGATAGAAAACGCACTGGCCGCAAAATTTCACTGGAGTCAAAACTCAGGATACGATGATATATTGTGTCTGATTGAAAAGGAGGAGCTTGGGTCGCGTAAGATAGCCATTTTCGGCAGTCGGTTTACCCGTCGATTAGCGTTGTAATGAGTAAACAACACAATAGTTGGCCGCTTTTGCGTCGGCGGAGATATAAATCTCTTATGGCTACCGGCGAAATGGAGGAAGAGAAAGAAGACTTATTATTCAATCTAACAAAAGGCAGGGTATTTATACCCTGGTGCCAAACAATCCGCTCAGTAAGCAAATGGAAGATGGGCCTGATCTAACAAAATTCGACCATTTACAATGTCTAGACATCTTTTCAAGATGCCTTTCAAGACGTCTGGCTTGCGTCATAATCAGGCCTCAACAGCTATAATCGTACTAGTAGCTTGGATGCTTCGGGCATCTATGACAACTATATCTTCCGTCTCTCTTTTATCCCTCACTTTCCTTAATATGCACACTGATCTTTCTTTCATCGGTATCATTTCTAGAGGTTACCTATCATCTCCTTTATTGGACTTTCAGCCTCACTCTCCCGAAGTTCCACAGTGAAACAGTTCTAGCCAATCAGAACCCTCTACCTTAACCCCGGAATATTGCGGGGCTAAACACAACCAATCACAACCATTTCCAGGGGTAACCCGATTAGCGATGACCCACAATGCCGGCCAACCCAGTGACACCAAACCCGACCAAGTCACCAATTGCCAACCCAGCCTTCCGACCAATATCGATGGCAAAGACGTCGACTCTAAAGATAATAAGGTTGATACCAACATCGACCTCAACGGTGCGGATATACGTCGCACACCAGACACACAAGGGTCCAACCTACCAAAGTTGACCCAAGTCACTATTACAAACGTGCCGCGACGACTGAAGCACAACACCAAGAACCCTGAACAATAGGTTCTTCAAGTGAAATTCGCACTAGCACAACTCCGACTAGAACACTTAATCAACAGCAGTGTTCCGCGGCCCGCCAAAGGCCAGCACAACTACAACAGATGGGTGCAATGGTCTCGTACTGTCGCCAACTGGCTGTATCTTCAGGTTGACGAAACCATCCAGGAACGGCTTCAGCAGCGCCGCAATATATCTAGCAAAGCGGACGCTTTATTCGACAGAATTATGAAGATGGTTCGGGAAAGCGACAACGCTGTCAATTTAAGCGCCAAAATCAACAACTACGACAGCAAAACGAGATCGGACTTTGGAGCCGTTAGAAAATACATTGCAGTACACCAATCTCAGTATCACTTGCTTGGTTCGAAGCTGCTCCCCGTCTCTTCTTTGTGCTAGCAATATCGTATCCATCAGCTGGGTATCTGGGTACCCAATCAATACAAATATTCTCAGATCAGCCGAGTTCCATGACATTTTTTAAGTCCTCCAACTATATTATTAATACGGAGGATCATTTGCGAGTGCTTATAAAGTGCTTTCACTGTGGATGAATCCCCAAAGGACATGATCCGTAGCAGATAGAAAGTATTGTCCCCGTGTATCAAGAAAAGTGAAGTTTTCATGCGATTCTGCTATAAGATTGTACCTAATATCCTCCAATCTCTATTCAATCATTTCAAGTAATTTCAAAAGTCATTAACCAATTCATAAACCAAAGATCATTAATGAGCGTATACAGTTCGTGTTCTCATGCAAACCATGCCTTGCCTTCAACCAAGGCGAATTTTCAATGTATCGTTTCCTCCAAGTCCGAGATGAGATGAAACCCGCAATAACCATCCACAAACTCCAAACTCACACCCTTGAGCTCGACCGCGCTCTGGATGTAGCAAGAAGTATCAAATTTACTCCTGGTGACCAGTAATAGCCTTGGTATCCTTGTGTGGAGCCTGGTTCTGTCCGTTGACGGGGTAGTTCTGGTAAGAACCATAGTTCTTGTAGTTGCCGTAGCTCTCGTAGTGGTTGTTCTGAGAGCTGGGGGTGACCTGGGCCTTGCCAGCTCCATTCTGGTTGAGAGCGGGGTTTGCCTGAGCGGGGATAGCCTGGCGCTTCTGGTTTGCATGCCACTGGCCGTTGGCATCGGTCCAGCCATTTTGGTTGTTCTGGTTGTTCTGATTGTTGGTGTGCCATTGGCCCTTCTCGTCGGTCCAGCCGTTCTGGCCATTCTGGTTGTTCTGGACGTTCTGGTTGTTGGTGTGCCATTGGCCCTTCTCGTCGGTCCAGCCGTTCTGGCCATTCTGGTTGTTCTTGACGTTCTGGTTGTTGGTATGCCATTGGCCATTGGCATCAGTCCAGCCATTTTGGTCTGGGTTGTATTGACCATTCTGGTAGTCGTTGTTCCACTGGCCATTCTTCTCAACTTGGCCATGTTGGTTATCGCCATTGTTGGCGACGAACACGCCGTGCTGCCAGTTACCCTTTTGGTACTTTCCACTGGGATCCCATTGACCGGCAACGTCGTTGGGGTCCAAGGGAAGCGCGAGGGTAGACAGAGGGGAGATAGCCAAAAGAAGGAGGCTGCTGATGATAGAGTAGCGCATTTTGAAGGGAGGTGAACTGCAAGAGTTTTGAATGAAGTATAGATAATTCGTTGCTTTTGGCGGTGCTCTTGTATCGTGAGGATCTAGAGATTGTTTTGGTTTGAGAATAATGATTGAAACCCGGTCGAACGGCCTGTATTTATATCCCAGAAACCCTTCAAGCCTCAAGCTCGAGTAATATGTAGCTTCAGAATATGCTACTCAATGGCGTTGGAAGCCTTTGACAAGAATGTCTGAGGTCGGGTCTCGCCATTCTTCGGTGAGGGTTGGGTATTGGCGCTGCAAGGGAGACCGGGGAAACGTGTAGTCGATAACCATATTGCCTTGCGGGGGATAAGCGAGCGGGTGCGCGATGATCTCAATTGACTGTAAAAGACGGAGTAGCACACGTAAGATTTACTAATTCAATAAGCATCAAACTTTTAAGAGTGGACCTTTGAAGAGCTACATGATGATCCTCGCGTGAATCTGCGTAGATCTTGTCCGTAAGGGGAGTGACCACATTCCTTGAAGATCACCACAATTAAATGCTGATCTTGGCTGCATTTCTACGGAAAACTCGCTTACCTAATTCAGTGAATATGCCCAGCTGATCCATGTTGTCTTCCATGCATGCATTTACGTGATACATATAATTTACAACCCCTTGAGCGAATTCTCACGTTGCCCATACATACATCACGCATTGGGAGACTCATGGGATGGCAAAACGTGTGAGACATGCAGGGGACACGTTGCGTTGATCAGCAATGTCTACGAGCTTCAAGCTCTGATGTCAGGGTCGAAGCTGGGGAAAATCCCCTTCGTCAAGTTGCGGTCTGGAGCCGGCAGTTGCCTATTGGAAATCAAAGGAGTTTCGTTGCCCCTTGAATGACTGGAAATTTATTTTGCGCGGTTTGCTTTTGCAACTCATTCAAGAAGCTACTCCAAGGCTCAATCATCGAGATGGGCTTGTTCGACGAAGCTTCCAGTGTAGAGGATTTCTCACATGAATCTAGCAAACGACTTCTCGCAGAGGAAGAAGCGACTCTCTGGAGTGGAAAAGAATCATCGGCACCCACATGTAACAGCTTTGCCGTCTACCTCTTTCGGGCGAGTGTACTTGTGCTGGGATTTTTAGTCGGGACTCTGTTTGGCTTTCAGTGGCGTGGTGACTTGGATGGCCTTTGCAGTCAACATGTTTCTCAATATTGTGAGCTCCAAGGTCCCGCCATACAATTCATTAATCTGATTGAAACAGCAACTGTCATGAAGGAAGTTGGAATTCAATATAGTGTACAAGAATTCAATGGCTCTCTCCTGAAAGAGAATATCTTCCGACAAGATGCCGGCCCAGATGTTGATGCAGCGTGGGAGTCTTTGGGCATCAACTGTGTGTCTTCGAAACGGTTAACTACTCTCTGACATGAGCTAATTACATTTCCTATCTAGACCGCAGTGTTCGAATATCCCCAGAAGATGCCGAACACTCTGGACTTGCTGCGGACCAAGTGAAGATCAATGCGAAGTATGGGGGAGGATTCCCTGCAAATGTCGAGGGCTTGCATCACCTTCACTGTCTGGTCAGTGGCCTATACCTCAAACCAATACTGCGAAACAAGTATACTAACACAGACAAGAATCTCCTTCGTCAGTCACTTTACTATAACTACGATTACTACCACGCGAAGAGGGAAGGGCCCTTCACCAACAATGACTATATCGTCCGCCTCCACGTGTGTATGTTGTTGTTGTTGTTTTTTTTTTTTTTCATTCTCCTCTTATGATAAGGTTTTGAACTGATTATTTCTCTCAAAGCACACTGCCTCGATATTATTCGCCAAGAGCTCATGTGCACGGTCGACAGTGGAGTGTTAGGTCAAGTCTGGATTTACCCCGAGAATCCAGAACCCTATGTTGACTTCAACACTCAGCATCGATGTAAGAACTTCGATGCCGTTCGTCGCTGGGCTGAAAAGAACCAGCTGCCTCAAGACCCGCCTGCGGACTTTTTGCAGCCACCATCAGAGGGAGACCGAATCTATAGCCAAATGCCATGAGATAGGATTGGACACTAAGCCTTAGCCTAGCATAGAAGAATACTATGCTACTCGAAAGTAAAGAAATATCACAATAAGTGATAATCCCAATAGAACAATAATCCCCTCAATTCAATCAAGATTATAAACACTCAAATCATCATTCATCCCAGGCAAAACATAAACAGCATTATCCTCACTCCCAAAAACCTTCAAAGGTCTAATCCCCCTAAACTCCATCCCAATTTTCTCCAATGCGCCCCGACTCCTTTGATTGGTAGGCGAACAAAATCCAAACACAGCATCAACCCCGAGAGTCTTTTTCGCATATTCCAAAAGCCCCTTCGCCGCCTCGGTCGCATACCCCTTCCGACCTTCCTCGGGTAACACGGCAAACCCGATATCCGGGGCAAGATAACTCGGGCCAGGTGGAATTCCCCTCATGAGGGAGACTGTTCCGATCGGCTTCAAGCCTTCATCAGTCTGTCGCGAGACTAGGAACATGCCGTACCCATGGTAGGCGTAGTGTGCTGAAACTCGGCCTTTGAGGAAGGACGATGCTTTTTCTGTTGTGGTGATTCCGGTTTTCCCGCATGAGCTGATGAAATCGTCTGTGTTCCAGAGTTGGACTAAGAAGTCGCTGTGGGTTGGGTCCGTGGGGTTGAAGGGGGTGATTTGGAGACGCGGGGTGGAGATTGTGAAGCCCAGGGGGAATGAATAGTCAGGCATGATTTGGTTCTAGGCAGTGGATAACTAGTACAGATATTGGAGGCCTTTCTTTTATCTTATGGCTGCGTTCATGGGATAGCTTGAGAAAGACGACAATGACTCACAGTTTTGGGGCTGGATTAGAAGCTTTGGGGCTGATAGGCGCTGTTGGCGCGAAAATGGCGTTGCCTATTTGGGTATCACAGTCTCACTGTGAGTTGAAATTATTAAGATAAAGAGAAGTGATAACTGATTTCAAAGAACTGGGGCCAACATTGACCGGATTTAGCCGGCATTTTGTGGTGATCCAGAATGATATTTCCAATGTCCATATCATGAAGTTGTCTCCAACACAGGCCCAGTGTAAACATTTCTAGCGCGCACCACATAGTATATCACAGCCAAGAGAACAGTTCCAATAGTCCCAACAACGCTCCAGTTCATAGTCGTGACAGTAGGCGACATATGCGAAGGCCAAAAACTGAAAAATATAACAATGAGGATATAAATGAGTGCATATGTATTGATCAACGCCCCCAATACACCTGGAATATGGAATGGTCCCCAAACCAACTTGGCGCCGGGAACATTAATCGCACCATCACTATCGTTGTGTCGATAGATATCGCCCTTGCAACGGCGATATAGCAGCAATGCGATGACGACGAGGTAGGATAGGTAAATACCAGACACTGCCATGGAGAGAATGTCGTCAAGGGCCACTTTGGAGCCGATGTTGATGAGTCCCAGGAGCCAGCAGATGGTAAGTGTCAGGAGGATTGAGTACACCGGGAGCTGTGTGGAGGTGGGTACCTTGAACATTATGTTAGCATATCGAAAAGTATTGGTAGGGCGAAAACATACTTGGACCCATAGTCGCCAACCCGGCACTGCTCGATCTCTGGAAAAGGACCAAATTTGCCGTGATGCCGTAGCCAGTATACCAATAACACCAAATATGCCTATGACCAGTACAATAGTACTCATAACCACACTTCCCGCCGTTGATCCTGTCGCCTGATAGAATATTTCGATGTATGGATACCCCGTCGGACCATCCAGAGCATCTTGAATATTTCCACTGCAGAATAACACAGCAATCAACATGCCGAATCCGAGAATACCATTGATAAGCACACTGAACATGATCGCACGGGGGATAACAATGGCTGCATTGTGGATTTCTTCAGCCATCTTGATAGGAAGTCAGTCACCAGGATCATATTGTGTATCACAAGAGGTTTGTCTCACATGGACTACAGCATCGCCTCCCGCAAATGAAAACACACAACCGGAAATTCCCACAAACCAGGACAGACCCTGAGTCGGGAACTCGCCACCGTTCAGGAACTTCGTGAAGACTTCTTGTTTGGTTTTATGATCGGCCAGACAAACCAGCGGTATGATAATTGACACGCAGCCCAGGACGTGTAGGATAAGAATGCCTTTTTCCAATCGAGGGAAGAGCTTCCCGCCTGATAAGTTCACAGCAAGTGCAACTAAGAGACATGCCCACATTATTAGTGTACCCTGCCAAGCTTCGGCTTTGTAGTGTTTGTGGGCGAGGATGGCGACTCCTTGGATCATTGTACCAGACAGATACGCGGCTGAGGCAAATGCGGCCTGCCATCCAACTACCGCAACCCACCCTTTGTTTCGATATTAGTATCTCAGTGTGTTGGTTTCATCGTGAATGGTATGTACCAGTTATGTAGCTCAGAAACTTCATGCAGTTTATTGGAGCAAGCATGGCACACCAGTGATATTGGCCTCCAGATGTTGGTGCCCTGAGGGGATGTCAGCATGAGGCCTTTCTTTTGACATATGTAGTATGCTCACATCGACGCTAACTCTGAAAGAGCGACAAAACAGCATGCTGTGCCTGTCCAAGCAAATATATAGGCATAGACTGCACCCGCCGAGCCTCCACTGCGACCTGTCAATTCCATATTCAGGATTTTCGGTGAGAGGCATACTTATGCAAAGGCGTTGTGAATGTTCTGTGTTGATATCAGCATTTTCGACTCGTTGTTTCAAGTTTGGATGTTCACATACCCAAGTAGTCCCTCCCACGTTCCGAGAACAGTACAACTCAATCCGAGAGTTGCGAAGATGCCGAATTTTCGCTGAAGGAGCAACCCCATTAAATCAAGTACAAGTTACACCGAGTCATCATTTTGTTACCTTCAATACTGGTTTCTTCCCGAGGCGCTCCAGTTGAATTCTGTCATAATCACTGATAGGTGAATCAAGGGAGTTGGCAGAGGCTGCGACCTCTTTCAACTCGTGGGCCATGGTGGATGCAAGTTTTATGTCAAGTTATAAGAGAATTCAATGGCTAAGACGAAGAAGTCTGGGGGGAGGAAGTGGAGAGGCAGCAGGGATTAAAAGATATCTCGAAGCTCTGCGACTGGAGATGATCTGTGCGCTGCATGTAGTGATACAGCTAGCATTCGAAAGTCGGCTGGGATGCTTGGTCTTGAACAAGAGAAGGCAGCGATCCCGCATCCAATAGAAGCAATGAGACACGAGAATATGTTCTTCAGTGAGGGAGCTGTAGATCATACAGCATTCCTCCAATGAAACACGAAGGGTGCATGCATGGCAGGGGTGAAGCAGGGGACCATTGGAGGCTGGGCTCCTGTTAAGATAGTCAGGTAGTTAATTATCGATAGTGCAAACAGCTGTAACATGGTAAGATGGTATGTAATTGATTATATTCTCTTATTGACCCATCTTCATACCACCGTTGGCGCATACCACACTACCAGTACACCAAAGACCATCCGGCGTACACAACATACCAACAACACCGGCAACCTCACTAGTGAAAGCGGGTCTCCGACCACCCATCTTCTCCTGAATCAAGCGCTTCTGCTCATCAGTCAAGCGACTCATAGTATCCTGATTATTCACATCCAACTTGCTCATCGGCGTGTTATCCTGATATCCCTGAATATCCTTCCAGAACTGTTCTCCGGTTGCAAAGTACATATCACCAACAACGGGGCCGGGGTTAACGGCATTAACAGTAGCACGGTCTGCCAGCTCCCGTGCCCAGGTGCGAGTCATCGCCTCAATGGCAGCCTTGGTACCGCCATAGATTGATTGGCCCACGAATCCGAGCGACGAGGATACACTGGAGATGCTCACGATGCGGCCGCTTCGGTCGGTGGGGAGGTATTGGTGGCAGGCTTGTGTGAGGAGGAGAGGGGCGAGGACATTGATTGAGTACTGCCAGTTGAAGTGCTCGGCTTCGATGGGGCCCTTTGTGGCATCGTTCAGGTTCCGGTCTTGTGAGACGCCGGCATTATTGATGAGGATGTCAATTTGGAGTTTTCCTGAGTTGCTGAAATGTTCTTGTGCGGCGGCGATGATGGCTGTCACGGCTTCGGCGGGCTGGCTTAGATCGGCTTGCACGCTTTCACATTTGATGTTATGGGTTTTGGCTAGAGAGGAGCATAAGGCTTCGGTAGGGGCTCGTGAGGACTCTGAGGTGAAGTTCAGGAGAAGTGAGCAGCCCTTTTCGGCCAAATTGCGGGCAATTGCTTCGCCGATTCCTGTGTTGATGGCGTTGGTTAGCTTGATGTCTTGGTATGCGGGGGAGCTGCAACTTACCCCGCGATCCGCCAGTGACGATGCCAAATTTCCCTTCAAGTACGCGAGCCATTTTGAATGTTAATGAGAGAGAGAAGAAATAAAGATATTGAAGGAGATTCCCACCTCTTTAATGTCTCTTATTTAGCCGAAAGTCGCGGAGGAAAACTGCCCGTTCAAGAAAGGAAATGCGGGTAAATTGCAGCTTCGGCCCGAATCTTCAACCGGTTACAATCACCCACATCATTTCGACTTCAAGGAAATTCGACCCGCAAATCTCCAAATTCTCCGATTTTCCGGGCCTCCACATCTTAGAGAGATACATTGCCTTGTCTATCAGGCTTCCAGAAGCTATTTAGGTACTGGAGCTTCAGTTTTCATCTCACACGACGTTTTGGATTTGCTGTCACAGTTATCTATTAGGTTGATATCGGAATCTATATGAAACCCTACTCTCAATTAATCTTGTTCCCTCTTCTTCTTTTCCCTATTTCGACCGGACTGTGCTGGCTTCTGCTCCATGACGAGATGGAAATCTGTTTTCTTTCTTATTTCCTTTCTCGTGGGTAGATGGAAAGGAGAAGAAGGGGGAAAAAGCAGATAGATATTCCCTCGTGTTCGCTTCTAACTTCCTACCTTCTAGTCTGTTTCTGCCTGATTTATTATTCTGCGTTTCTCAATAGTCCATTGCCTCTGGAGCAATGGTTTCCATACCAGAGTTGGAGGTGGCACGACGATCAAATGCCGTAATAGGCAATATGGTGCGCCAGACATGTGCCTTGTTATTGCCAAGAAATACAACACGCTCTGTTGCGGAGGGAAAATCATGGAGTATGACTATGGAGAAGGAGAGATAAATCTGGAGAAAAATGTCATAAAGAGGGCGGTTTAATGGAAATTCCATATGTATCGATTTCTCTTGTATTTTCTAGACGCCTATAGAAATGTAGAAAGAAGTAATAATATATACTTCAAAGGTAGATTCAACCTCGGGAAATCTTCTAGCTATACAAAAAACGATATACGGCTATGAGGGGCCGTAACTTGGCGCATCCTCAAGTACCCAATGCGTCCGACATAGGTATACAACATCTCAAGGTTTGTTGATGAACAACGACATTCAAGAAATCGACAGGTATAGATCTGCCTAGGTGATGTCACCGCTATTTGCCTAGCTGCCAATCTTCTTAGCCTTTCAAGATTAAGTTTACCATCACGAACGCCAAGGGCGCACCAACTTGCCATATCCTTACTGACTGTCGCAGATCTGGGGCCAAGCTGGCTCAGCCCGTCTTATTATAGTGCGCCCGTCGATGTTTAGACAGAAAACATGGCGGATGGCGCCTGAACCAACCCTATATGGACAACGCGTTGCCTTGGCCTACGTTCATACCTGTTGGATATGTCCAAAGCTGAGGACTCAATGTGCGCTATAGCCACAACGAACGTCAATATATAAGATGTAGAGAAATTGCTCGACTTCAGGCAGAATCAATTCTACCTTCTCAGAAGCAAGTCTCGTCTTTACTAGAATCTCGCCGAAACCTTCACAATGCTTCTTGACAAAGTATTACTTGGATCCCTATTGGGACTTGCAGCTACCTCAACAGCGCGCATAATCGCAACAGATGAAGTCCCCTTCATCGGTCCATCCTTCCTCTCTAACTTCGATCCCTCCAATTCAACAGCTATCAACCACGCAAAATCGAAATTCCCTGGCCTCATCGATAACCTCTTCTCAACTGGCGATCTCAATCGTACAGACTTGGCCTTCTACATCGACGTATTTTCAGCTGCGACCAATAGATCCATCTACAGCTATTCGCATGTCGGAGAGAACTCAAAGCAGTCCATGACATCCGGAGAACTCAATGACAAGACCATCTCGCGCATCGGAAGTGTGACGAAGCTCTTCACTGTCTACGCAATCATCGCCAAGGCCGGCATGGAAGTATTCAGCCACCCTGTGACCAAGTACCTCCCCGAACTGGCGGGTAATTCGGCCAACGATCCATTGGAGGAAATACGCTGGGAGGATATCACTGTCGGGGGGCTGGCATCTCAGCAAGCTGGGTCTGGGGGTGTTGCTGGTTTGTGCTCTTCTCAAATTCTAGATTCCCGGTGCTGATTGCTCTGCTAGACTTCCTCAAAGACTACGCGGACCCCGAGAAGCCATTGCAATATGCACCCGAAGGTAATCCAAAAAGGCCCTGTCAGCTAGGAAATTGCTAATATATGTGATTCGCAGATCTTTTGAAGTTCTTCCGTGATGAGAGAAAGCCCGTGATTTCTCCATTCCGAAATGCGGTTTATTCTGATGGCGGTTTTGCTATCCTAGGACAGGTGCTTGCGCGCCTCTCAGGGAAGACTTACAGGAAAGCGGTCCAAGAGGTTCTCTTTGATCCATTGGGCCTGGAGACAATGTCGACAATTGTTCCAACGGGCTCGGATCTTAATGTTATCGATCGGCGCAGTATCGACAAGAACACATCATGGGCCGGTGACGTGGAAATTGTTGCGTCGTAGGTTTTCTTTTCCCCTTTTTATATGTTGAGAACCGCAAGCTAATCGCCCTCAAGAACTGGCAGTTATTACTCCAACGCCGCAGATCTCCGCACCGCAGGTCTCGCCATCTTGAACTCCGAGATCCTCTCCCCAGCCACAACATCACAATGGATGAAACCCAGCAGTGGAACCGGTAGTCTGGTTGAGCTCGTCGGCGCCCCTTGGGAAATCTCTCGCCTCGAGATCCCCGTGACCCCAGGCTCAAACCGTACCCGGATCTCGGATCTCTACACCAAAGCCGGTGGTAACATCGACTATACATCCATATTTGCCCTATCTCCAGACCACGGCATCGGCTACTCCATCCTAGTCGCCGGGTTCACCGCGACGCCCGCCCGCTGGCCTCTCCGCGACGTAGTTGGCGAGACATTCATCCCCGCCGCCGAACACGCAGCCGCAGAAAACGCCCAACGAAACCTGGCCGGCACGTTCGTCGACGAGACATCGCCGGATACAAACATCACGCTATCTGTTGATCGGGGCCGTCCCGGGCTCGGCCTGAAATCGTTCTGGATTAAGGGTGAGAATGCGCGCGATAATGCGAACTGGCGTCTCTATCCGACTGGTCTCAACTCGTTCTCGAGGTCTTTGTCTTCTTTGTATAAGACCAAGGGTACACTTCGTGTGGCGCACCGTATGGTGGAGCCGCAGCCCCCGATGAAACCTCGTGCGGCTGTCGAAGGAGGGAAGGGAGGATTGTTTGATAATTCCTTTGTGTGGATGAATCTAGATTTTGCCGGTCCCTCTGATGAGTTTATTTTCAATTTGGTGGATGGAAGACTTGTTAGTGTTGAGTATCCTGTTACCGGTTCTGTTCTCAAGCGAGTTTGAGGCCGATTTATAGATCAGTCATATCGGTGGTGTGGTAAATGGTTAGGTCTTTCAGCTTAGCTTATTATATGCGTTGTTTATTTCTGTCTTTTTAGATATAGTATCCAGTCTCATAGTGCAGTGAACTATTCATCGACCCATTAATCCCATCCAAATATAGGCGCTAATATGCTTTTTAATATGCTTGGTCAACTTTAGTTTTGCGAATAATAGGGAGAGAGTAGTCGTACGTTATATTATGGGGGTGTAAACATGAGCCCCCTTATACGCCCTCGAAGTGGCTACGACCTAGTCGTCATGCACCTTAACCACGACCTTGCCACGCGCACGCTTTGTGGCGATGCGCTCGTAGGCGCGTATGGCATCCTTCATCTCGAAGACAGAGTCGACAGGGATACGCAAGCGGCCCTCCTCAATCAGACGTGCCAGATAGACCGCGTCGTCACACGAAGGTGGCGTGCTGAACATTATATAGCGACGCGGCACGCCGCCCAGCCATGTGGGCAGCCAGCTATTGAGCAGTACGTTCCACGTCGTCACATATGTCCCCTCGAGCATGCCGATATTTATAAGAGCTCCCTCGGGCTTAAGATAAGCTGGAGAGTTGGCAAAAAGCGCTTGCGTGCCAACGCAGTCAAGCAAAAAGTCAAACGGCTTGTCGCCATACTGCTGCACAAGGTAGGCTGGCAGCAATTCATGTTCGCGGTAGTCGATGAACTATTCCAACGTTGTGTATTAGTCATTTTCTCATACAATGTTAGCAACTGTACATACCTCATCTACACCTAGATCACGAACCATAGGCTCGTTGCCTCCGCTAGCCACGCCGACCACCTTTGCACCACGCAGTTTGCACAACTGCACGAGCACTGACCCGACCGACCCGCTAGCCCCATTCACGAGCACCGTGTGACCCTCGCGCACACCGGCCGTGCGGATCATCTTAAGCGCGGTACTACCGGCCCCGATGGTGCCCGAGGCCGACGCCATATCAACACCATCATCGATTCGTGCGACTTGGGAGCCAGGCAGTCGCACATATTCTGCCAGAACGCCGTGACCCATGGCCACGGCAGGAATGTTCTGAAAGGCAATGACGTGCACGCCGGGATCGCGCAGCTCTACCGGTGCACCCCCGCCAGCTGCCACCACCACACCGGAAAGCTCAAGCTCCGGGACCCACGGGCGGGTGAAAGGTAGTTTAGGCAGAATCTTCATCATCAGCTCAGAACTGAACTGTAGTGACACATTTGACACGCGGATTAGGACGTCGGACGACGAGCCTGTGGGCACGTCGGGCGTTGGATAGTCAGTGGTCAGCTCGAGCGCGCTACTAGCAGGACCGCGTCGCCGGCGTACCCAGGCACGCATGTTTGTCGGTACGGTCGGGGCCTGGGTCTTCGATGACATTTCTTCTGCTATTGGTGCGTGGTGAATAGATGAAGAGGACAGTTCACGATAGAAGTAGGGAGCTTCAGGGCGCGATTTGCCGCAACAATAAAAAGAGCTGGTACTGTAACGGTGTAGAAAAGAGAGATATGGTGGAAAGGCCCGAAAGCCGCTGTTAGATGGAGTGCACAACTCAGAAAAAAGCGTCTCTCGAGCTTATTTAAAGACAATTGAGAACGGACGAACCGGACGAGGCTAACGGACCAGCTAGACGACGTTTGTACGGGGGAAGCGCCGAACACCACCGTGTACGCCCAATAGTCACGTCCAAGCGAATTCAGAGATTTGTAGGAGTGTGTATTCTCAATCGGTAACTATCTTCTACATGTAACCTCTGTCCATCAACGGTTTAATAAAAGTGCAAAGGTAAAGAGAGTATAGGCGTGGCCAACGCGTAGGACATGGTCCCGACGGGTGGACAGGTCCCCGGGGTGTATTAATAAGCATAGTCGGATTTGGCCCATTCCGGCTACCGTAGTCTCAGGGACAACACACTCAGCCGCAATAAACATGCCTTACAATCATGGCGACATCCAAGCCAAGAACACAACTGGGGTGGAAAATGTCCGGGACTCCTGATTTGGTCCGAGACTCCAAACCGAAGACTGTATTTGTCCCCGACTCGAACGAGACTGTCCACACATATGAAGAATCGGACCCCACCGCTAGACAGCGAGTTGTTTTGAGAACTGAGCATTGGAAACGACAAGCAAAAATTGGGAGAGGAAGCTACAGGTCTGTGTGGCTAGAAAAATGCATGAAAGGGAGATAGGAATCATCTTGACACAACGCAGGTTTCCGGGGAAAACGCTATCCCATTTGAGCGTGGGCGCTCTCGTCAAGTAGTCATTCACAAGGAGCTGAACAATGTGTTGGGGATGGGCGGCATAAATCAAGATGTCGTTCGATTCGGGTTGCTGTGGTATGAAAAAGCTGCTCTAATAACGGTAAGAATAAATGAATTACAGTCAAGCACAAATGACTACGTGGAAAACCCCCGCCTAGATCGGAAGAGTGATCAATTGGACACGGTCGTACCATCTCAAATGCACACGAGAGTCCACACTGTAGGCCATCGACAGCTGGACGTGCGGTATGTGAAGCTTGACCAAATTGGATCTGGACAATTCGGGGTTGTATACAAGGCCTTCGATGTCGACACGGGCAGCTTTATTGCTGTTAAGAAAACCCCACGCCCCAACCAAGACGCAGGGGACGAGAGATCCTATGAGACGTTGAAACGCGAGGTTGAGGCTCTATCTCGACTTGGTCACGTTAGTAGCCCTTCCATGCTCTCGCGAACTGAGCTGACACTGCCTTAGCGGTATATCATCGAATTTATCGCTTCGCAAGGCGGAAACGAACTATCTCTGGACATATTGATGCGCCTCGCGGACGGCACACTTCACTCCTTGGTTGCCACTGGTGAATTTTCAAGCCACCACAGTGACCTCACCAATAAGTTTGCCCACCATACACTTCAGGCGCTAGATTACCTAGACATAAAAGGCGTTGTTCATCGAGATACCAAACCAGAAAACATTCTTTACACTAGAATGTCGCTTCCCCCACATATGTTATACCAAGTTGGTGAATTCGGTCTATGCAACCGCACTGTTAGTGCTCGGACTCATGTTGGGACCCCACTATTCGCGGCCCCCGAGCTTCCAAAACGCCAATCACACAAGATGGATGTCTGGTCCCTTTTTGTAACAATCGCATGGACGGTGGATCTCAATAACTTTCGCCAGAATTCACACCAGTTTAGTAACGTCCAGGAGGTCCACAAACAACTCTCGGACGTGGCACCAAAGATGACGAATTTTTCGGAGATGGCGAGACTCGATCTGAGCAAGCGCGCCTCTGCGGCACATATGTTGGTCAAGTGCTTTAATGGGGTCGGACTTTCAACTCCACGGAATCAAGTTCCCCCGCTCAGTTCATCAAAGCTGGAAATCACCGATGCCGAGTTACACTGGGACCCAATGGAACTAGACGATCCCGAGCCTCTGGTCAATGATCGAGCAGGCCCGGGTATAAAATGGGCTCCAAACGATCCTACGAATCCAACCCCTGTGCGCAAGTCGAGAAGATTGCAGGCTCAAGCACTGAAGAAAGACGCCATGGCTGCTAAGTCTCGATTCAATCCTCTTTACGCATAGAAGCTTTGGCTTCTCGGCCATCTTGCTTACTTCCCTGGCGCTTTACAGGCGCTTCGCGTGGGCTCGGCATGCCAAGACTAGAGAATGTGACATTGCTGGAGTAGGGTGTTAACACATCGACCCAGGACTGTCGGTGTCCTTGTTCATCACGAATGCGTTTTTCTTTCTTTGATACTTTCTTGTTGATACTGAGTTTGCGTTCAGCCGCTTCCATTTCTCGTGTTTATACTCACTTATGCAATGTACTTTGTTTCTCCCTAAATTGACCACTTCCCATCCACCACACCAAGTGGAATATGCGATATCCGAACCCGAACTCCGAACTCCGAACAATGCAGCGATATGGCCCCACATGTATATAATCTCCACCTTTAAAAGCAAGAGAACAACAGCCCTTCTCTGAGTTCACAGTTCCCTTAAAAGCCAAAATGACGGACTCTACCATTCTGATCACGGCTGGCCCGTACCAATTCCTCGCGAAGCTCGAGTCTGCCGCTCCCAAGACCGTCAAATTGTTCCGCTCTCTCCTCCCATACCGCCAAAAGCTCATTCATGTGCGATGGAGCGGTGAGGGTATGTGGATTCCGTTGGGCGAGACGGATTTCAATCTCCCCTTTGAAAATCACACGGCGCATCCCGCGCCTGGTCAGATTTTGCTGTACCCCGGAGGTATCTCGGAGACGGAATTCCTATTCTGTTATGGAGGTGTTGCTTTTGCAAGCAAGATGGGAGCTCTTGCTGCGAATCACTTCTTGACTATCACGGAGGGATCTGAGAACTTGTTTGCGCTTGGGAATCTGACGCTGTGGGAAGGAGCACAAGATGTGTTGTTTGAGCTGGCGGATGAGGATAAGTATGTTTTGGAGATTGAATCTTTTCTTGTGTCTGTGGCTGATTCAATATAGAATTCGTCAATTCAAGGCTGTGAGGTCTGCTAAACTCTAGATCGTGCGCATACATTGAGACTTGCAATCCACCAAGTTTTCTGATTATCCATAGATACAAGTTGCTATGCCGATGATATCACATACATTTAGAAATGAAGTTGAATAGTGCCAATTGAATCTGGTCGTAATAGCACTTTACTTCCCTATCTCGAGCACTTACCGCTATTTATATAGAGGTACATATCACATAGACAAACCCCGCTATAATTCCCCACTTCCATTTCTTCAACTTCAACTTCAATTTTCAATTTCAACTCAACTACATCATTCCCTTAATCCAATTACAACCAAGAAACAAAATGTCCTCAAACACCCCAACAATCCTCCTCCTAGGAACATGCGACACCAAACTCCCAGAACTCCTCTACACAAAATCCCAAATCGAATCCACAAACGCCAAAGTCCTCCTAATGGACATCAGCCGCAACCCAACAACCCACGACCAAATCACCATCCCCCAAACCGCCCTAACAACCCCCTCAACTCCAATCCCAGATCTAACAACCCTCCCCCGAGCCGAGTACATAACCACCCTGACACCCTACGCCACCAAAAAAGTAACATCACTCCACGAATCCCGCCAAATCCACGGTATCATCGGCATAGGCGGGTCATGCGGGACATCACTCGCAGCAGCAGTGATGCGCGACGCGCTACCGGTTGGATTCCCCAAACTCCTCGTGTCAACCATGGCGTCCGGGGATGTGGGGCCGTATATCGGGGAAACGGATATCAGCATGATGTACAGCGTTGTGGATATCGCGGGTCGGAATCGTGTTTTGGAGGGTGTTCTTGATAACGCTGCTGGGGGGATTGCGGGGATGGCTAGTTCGTTTCTGAAACGGCAAAACGAAAAGAAACAAGAACCAGAGACATCTTCTGGTGTCAGGATTGGTATATCCATGTTTGGAGTTACGACGCCTGGTGTTACGCGTGCACGGGAACGTCTCGAGGAGGTGCTGGCTGGTTGTGAGGTTTATGTTTTTCATGCTACGGGGTCTGGGGGGAGGGCTTTGGAGAGGCTTGTTAGGGAGGGACAGATTGATGCGGTGCTTGATTTGACGACTACGGAGATTGCGGATGAGGTTGTTGGTGGAGTTCTTAGTGCTGGGGCTGGACGGTTGACGGCTGCTACGGAGCGGGATATTCCGAGGGTTGTTAGTGTTGGGGCTTGTGATATGGTGAATTTTGGAGGGATGGGGAGTGTTCCTGGTGGTTTTCGGGAGGGCCGGTTGTTGCATGAGCATAATGCGACTGTTACGCTGATGCGGACTACTAAGGAGGAGTGTGGAGAGATTGGGAGGTTTATAGCGGGGAATTTGGTGCGGGATGGAGGACAGTTGAAGCGGACCAAGGTGATTCTGCCTGTTGGTGGAGTGAGCATGTTGGATGTTCCTGGTCAGCCATTCCAGGATCCAGAGGCGGATGAGGTATTGTTTTCTACTTTGGAGAAGGAATTGGAGGGGAGTGGGATATCAGTCGTGCGAGATTCGTGTGACATCAATGATCCTGACTTTGCAGTGGTGGTAGCAGATGAGCTGGTCAAATTGATCCGTGGAGAATAAATCTTACATAGCCAGAAATATGACCAAAAGCCAGTCTACAAGCTACAAGCAATTACAGGAATAAAAATGTTGACGCATAGCTTCTATTGTTGAAGTACTACACCATCACAATCGGCCCATGGAGGCCTACACACCAGAATAAGGTATCAAAGATAAAATCCCATCCGCAAAGCAGTGTTGAATGCAAGACCATCCCAGGTCATCCCACGCCAAAACAAAACATTAGAAACACACCATCCCCGGTGCAGGCCACTTTTTATGCCGTTGAAGGACAACCACTTTTGAGTTCTAAGTTGATGGAGAACTCGAAATGCCAATCATAACATCGTCGAATCATGTTGAAAGTCTATTTCCCAAAAATATCATCGATCACGAGTTGAAAAATGTAGAGAAATTAGTAACGGTAGATCTCGGGCTTGAAGGGGCCGTTGACATCGAGGCTGAGGTACTCGGCCTGGACGGGGGTCAGCTTGGTGAGCTTGGCGTTGACGTGGTCCAAGTGGCAGCGAGCGACCTGCTCGTCGAGCTGCTTGGGCAGAACGTAGACACCGATGGGCTTGCGGCCACCGGCACCGAACTCAATGTACTTCTTGCCGAAAGCAACATCCTCAGCCTTGAAGAGAGCGATCTGAGCAAGGACCTGGTTGGAGAAAGAGCAGGACATGACGAAGGAAGAGTGGCCGGTAGCACAGCCAAGGTTGACAAGACGACCCTCGGCGAGGAGGATGATGTTCTTGCCGTTGAGCTGGTAACGGTCAACCTGGGGCTTGATGTTCTGGACGGACTGAGCGTTGGCCTTCAACCAGGCGACGTCAATCTCGATATCGAAGTGACCAATGTCTGGAAAATCGTTAGTATTAATGTTCAAACCAACATGTGAGTCAAAATAACTTACTGCAGACAATGGCGTCGTTGCGCATGGCCTCGAAGTGACGGCCAACAAGGATGTCACGGCAGCCAGTGGTGGTGACGAAGATCTGACCGGTAGGGGCAGCATCCTCCATAGTGCTAACCTCGTAACCCTGGACGGCAGCCTGGAGGGCGTTGATGGGGTCGACCTCAGTGACAATGACACGGGCACCCATGGAGTGGAGAGCCTGGGCACAACCCTTACCGACATCACCGTAACCGGCAACGACGGCGATCTTACCAGCGATCATGACATCGGTGGCACGCTTGATACCATCGATGAGGGACTCACGGCAGCCGTAAAGGTTGTCGAACTTGGACTTGGTGACACAGTCGTTGACGTTGATGGCGGGAACCTTGAGCTTGTTCTCCTTCAGCATCTTGTACAGGTGGTGGACACCGGTGGTGGTCTCCTCGGAGACACCGAAGCAGTCATCGAGCATCTCGGGGTACTTAGTGTGGATGAGGGAGGTGAGATCACCACCGTCATCAAGGATGAGGTTGAGCTTCTTGCCATCCTTGAAGGCCTGGAGCTGCTGGTCCAAGCACCACTGGTACTCCTCCTCGGTCTCACCCTTCCAGGCGAAGCTGTAGAAAAGAATGGTCAGACGAAGTCCACAACAAAGGTGTGAGATCTCAGAAAACTTACACAGGGACACCGGCGGCGGCAATAGCAGCGGCGGCGTGATCCTGGGTGGAGAAAATGTTGCAAGAGGTCCAGGTGACCTCAGCACCGAGGTGGGTGAGGGTCTCGATGAGGACGGCAGTCTGGATGGCTGGAGAAGCGGTCAGTACAAGCTTTGCTTTTTGTGATAGATCAACATACTCATGTGGAGACAACCGGCAATACGGGCACCAGCGAGGGGCTGGTCAGCACCGTACTTCTCACGGATGGCCATGAGACCGGGCATCTCAACCTCGGAGAGCTCGATCTCGCGACGACCGAAAGCGGCCAGGGACTAGGGAATGGTCAATGGTTTTGAAGGAGAAAAACAGGAAGAGAGACATACGAGGTCAGCGACCTTGAACTTCTGTGCGGGGGCAGCCATTATGTAGTATGTATTCAAAAACTGTTGATTATTAGTGAGAAAGATCAGATAGAAAGTGATGTAGAGAATTGACTGACCAAAGGGTGTATGAATGAGAGAAGAAGAGAAAGAGGGAAAAGGAGAATAATAGAGGGGAAGGAAAACTCTCCGCTTAGTGAGGGATCGCCAAGGTCCTGGGAACGTGGCAAGTACCGGGTACGGTCTTGTAATACAATTTTAACGTGTACGGTCAGGTACCGGTACTTCTCAACACTTCGGACTCCGTAGTGGGCTGACTGATGGCGGGGTCCTTGCTTAGTCACGACGGATAGCCAACTTGGGCGTTGACCATCGTGGACAGGACTGAACCGCTAAAGCACCTTGGGAGCAAACAGAAATACGTTGAACACTTTCATTGGAGCTATTTTCTCAAAGTTTACTATTTCCTTGCTTTACACGTGCTAGTCGCTCATGGCTTTCGGTGAAGGTGTTGTTTGCTGCGGCCGCTGTAGTACTAATTTCAAGCGCAAGAGAAAAAGCGGCAATTAGACCCGCTAGACGGGATTTCATGCCAGGACCATTGCATTCCATAATGCCGAGGGCTTCTCGCTGCGTTTCATATGCGGTTCCACCTCCAACAGTGCCAACGGGTAGAGATGGGAAATAGAGGGTCAATTTGAGCTGGCGAGACTTATGATCATACTCCGGGGTCAAATGTCCCCAAGGTCCTTCGGCAACCGATGCGACATCCTGACCAGTCGCAATAAAGATCCCGGTGATGACGTTGGCCACATTTATATTAGAGCCGAACTGACCATTTCGAATCCCTCCCTCTTGTAGTGTGCGGAAAGTATGGTATAGGGTCTCGGTCGTGCACTTGAGAATGGCACGGCATACTGTATCAGAGAGGGAGGTCCATGTGACCACTTCAACCCCTCTAGGTGAGCAGACAGCTCCCCAGGATGGCTTTTTGTCTGGCGCCATGTTGCCTTCAATAAGGACACCCGTAATATTCAGCCCCAGATCCTGTGTGGAAGCAAGAAGCCAATCACAGGCATTTTGAGTAGCAATTGTGACCATATTTTGGCCCGCTGCATCTCCACATGTGTAGTCAAACCGCACATGTACATTGGAACCGATGATATCAGGTGTCAATTTCACAAGACGGGCGTAGCGGCTTGTGGATTCTGCGGCCTTAGCGATGGGATTCCACAGATCTGGCACGCGATGCGCAAAATCGATCGCCTCTTGGGTACAATTAAATCGAAACACTGGACTGCGAGACATTGCTTCGCCCAGGACATGAAACTGCCCTCCGCCAGACTCATTGAGAACCTTGCAGCCTCTGCTGCAGCTTGCGATGATTGCAGACTCGGTGGTAGCAATTGGGGCATAGGTTGCACTACTGGTGCCATCGGAATTTCTCATCGATAGAGGACCAGCCAGTCCAACTGGCACAGAGGTATATCCGATGAAGTTTTCAATAGATATTTTCGGTGCATCGTTTATGCGTTCGGTTATATGCTTTGCATCTTGCAGAACATGTCCAAACTTTTCTATCGTCTTTGAGGCCATCTATACGCTATAGATTGGATATGGAAACAATATCTCGTCAATTGCTGTTATTGGCGTGGAAAACGAATTGGACTATACTTAGTAAAATATACATAGCATGCATTATATATATTATGCAAAATTCTCCTTTAATCGATAAATACCCGTATCAACTCATGGGGAAGCCTCATGATCCAGTATCAATCCTACAAATGGAACATGTTATTCAGGATGTGCAGCATGCATTTTGCTCGCGTACGCTATTGCATGATAGAAAGCGCCTTAGGGTTGTACGACCTGATGTTCACTCTGTGACCGGGATTTGCTTATGTAGATCGCGTAACATACAATCCTGATATATGACTTTTTGTATAATAACAATAGTATCCACAAAGCGATGTACATTTCGAGAGGATAATCGGGTGGGATGATTGGCAACGAGGCCTCGTGCCTATAGCTTAAATTCCCACGATTTCAATGAACAGAACGGAGCAGGTAACATATGTGGCTTGCTGATCGCATTTTTATGAGCTATTACCGAGAAACAGGTTTATATTATGGGGTAGAAGCTTTGTTGAATACGAAATTGCCCCGTAGTAGCTCTCTCAATACAGGATGCATCAACGCATTTCTTTAGGGTTTTGTCCGGTGACTTCGTGAGGACTTGCAGAAACTTGCACGTAGTGAGTCTTTCTAATTAAATTTACATGGAGATTGAACGAGAGAGAATGGCTGCTAGATATAGATGCCACTAGCGAACTATAGGCTCGCCACTCAGCAGGTGTCCCATGCGCCTTGTCTCACCATCATCATTAACTAGTTCCTATCTTCGAGAGAGATACCATCAACATTGTCAAAGACAAGCTACCTTACTGTGTAACAATATATTTCCCCGTTACACCACTAGTCTGGATCCCCAAGCAAGCAGCTACATTGATCAAGGTGGCGTGGACCTGTAAAAATGCACATAACTACACTACTTTGTAGAACAACGTATCACCGTCGATCCATCTGGATAATATTATCCCCGAGGTCAAAGTACCAGACATATAAGAATTATTTAGCAATAGAGCCCTTTTTTTTTATGAATTAGACTAACTATTACCATTATTCAAGCTCCCTGCCATCAGTGCCATTCTATAATTTGGACATTGTACTTCCTTGACAGTCATAGGGTTTATCACTAAACAATGACTTCCTCATCCCTCGAATTACTCCGTCTACCCGTCTTTAAGGATATTCCACGAGATGCTACCGACCATGAGAGAATATATCTCAGTTACCAGCGTGCTGCTGCTGCCACCAAAGCTTATGGTTAGAAGACTACTCCAATTTCCAATCCTCCATGTGAGCTAACCCACCAATATAGGGATGACGGCGGTAGATATCCTTCAATGCACTCAGAAATTCTGGGATATTCATCTGGATATCATCGGGGTTGTAGACTGCGCTGCATTTACCTTGATGACCATTCAAATCAACCTTGCAGCAGGGACCTTGGCTCCCTTTGCAGAGAAACAACCGCAGTACCGAGAGCTCTTGAATCAGATGTTGAACTTTGAAATTTCGTTAGTATAGATCCGCCAATAGCTGCTAATATATCAATACTAATTCAGCTGACTAGGGCACAGTATATGCTGACCGAGGTTGGGCACGGTTTAGATGCAAAGAATTTGGAAACAACTGCAACAATGCTTCCAAGTGGCGAGTTCGATCTGCACACCCCTAGCCCCAGTGCGGCAAAGTAAGATGCATTATACTTCTCATACTGTGACACTCTTTTGATGATTTTAGGATTATGCCACCATCTTCGCCAGTAAAGGGGCTGCCACGAGTCGGGATTGTCTTTGCCCAGCTTATTGTTTCTGGCGAAAATCGTGGTATCAGACCATTTATTACTTGGCTCAGCGATGGAAATCAGATGTGTAATGGTGTGACTTCAAAGTACGTACGAGAAACGAATACCCAGCTGGATGAAACAAGATACTTACCGACATATTCGCGTTCGTTTAGGTTGCTCCCCAGGCGAGCAGCATCGAAACCGGTGGATCATGCCATTACGAGTTTTACTCATATCCGCCTTCCCCATTCAGCGCTCTTAGGAACTGTAGATAAGCCAAAAGATATGCGCAAGCACTTCATGTCATCTATCTGGCGCATTGGAGTTGGTACTCTCGGATTATCACTAACCATGGTTCCGACGATGAAGCGGAGTGTTTTCGTCGCAGGAAAATATAGCCAGCGTCGACATATATTGGGGCCAGACCAGAAACCCAAGCCCATTATCTCTTTCCGAACTCAATACGGTCCGATCCTGCATGGATTAGCGCAGATATTTGTTTTCGAGGCCTACGCTCAAAAAAGCATTCAGTACTTCCAAGACCCCAGTCTGACAGAATTGGTCCAGCATTCCATTGGGGCCATGTTTAAGGCTGTTTTGTGCAAAACATCTCAAGCTTGTCATTTTACACTCTCGGAGCGATGTGGAGGACAGGGTTTGTTTGAGAACAATCATATTATTGAGGCAATGTTGGAGACGCGTGGAATATCGATTGCCGAGGGAGATATCCTAGTGTTGTGTATTCGTATGTGGATCTTCTTGCTTTCATTTCATTTTACATGATGCACTAACGAAGTTCAATTCTAGGATTAGCATCGGAACTTCTTCTAAATCGATACCAAATGCCCCCTGCAAAGGACCCATCATCCTTTTTAGCAAAGCATGAACAAGGGCTACTTGATGAGCTTCACAGAATGGCCAAGGGCATTTCAGGAGGTCACCGTGGAGAGGATTTTAACCGCTTGATTTTGCCAAGATCACAGGAACTTGTCGAGGCTATAGGATATCGCATAGCTTATGACGCCGCTACAGAGACAGGGGTTCATACTGACTTAGTGGCCTTGTATGAAATTTGGGTCATGTTACAGGATCAGAGCTGGTTTGTTCAGCATGTCGGTCTAACCCGTGAGGATATGTTCCAGATGGAAGCCGAAAGACTCAGCGCTGTGTTGCCTCGGTTAGATGCTTTGCTGGATGCTACCGGTGCTGAACCCTACTGTAATGCGCCCATTCTGTCTCAGACATCGTGGGAGCATTTCGTCGACCAATTGGAGACTAAGACAGGAAATGGTACTACAGACATTGGTTACTCAAGGGGCCGGGCCATGCTCTGAGCATTATTCGATATTTCTACTTGTGCTTAGGCTTTCTGTTTTAGTTGGAGGTTTTTTGTGTTTGTATCTGCTTAGCTACATTCTAATTTCAAGTTCAAAATCTAATTTCTTGAAGTTAAAGATCAGATACAGAGCCAGACTTAGCTCATATCCGTGTTATTGAATATGTCCTAGTTAATATCCCTGCTGTTGCAATTTCAAGTAGAGACGGCGCTCGATCGCTGACAAACAAGCAACTGTGCTCGATCTAAATTTCGCTTTAGATCATCCAGTTGATACCACTTCTGTTGAATGCGTGGATCGGCAGAAAGAAAACCCCCTCTTGAGCTAGGGTGCATATGCATATGCCAAGCAGATCTGAAAAGGCCAGAGGCGAATAATACGTACAGACGATCTAATTTTTAGTGAATGGATCGGGAGAACAACATACGCACCGCGAGTCATGATAATATAGCACCCATAGTTAATGCAATTAAGAGGCGAATTATTGACGGAGACTTGGGCGATCCACCAGGGCTGGACAAGAACTACCTGTTCCAAATCGCGTGTAACAATTCCTATATGTCGATGTAGATCTTCTTAACGGGCTACGGCATTATATTTCTACAAGCACCCAGCCTCTAGTTAGTGATGAGGTCATCTTGACATTTATGTGAATGACCTATGCTGGCAGATATTTTAATTCGAGTACCAGTTCAAACTAACCGGCGAGTCAAGACACATACCATATATCCCTCATAACCAGTAAGGAAAGGTAGTCAGGATTGGCTATTTTGTTCCGTTTTTGACACATAGTCATCATCAATAGGCTTGGTGAGCGCCTCGCTCTTGGAAACTTCTCGCAGGAGGTCCAACTCGGCGAACCCAAGACAGAGTAATCCAGTGAGGATATATCTTTCAACAATATCGATATAAGACCGGGCTTGAGTTCTTTTGCATGAAGTTAGAACACATTCAAAGCCGAGCAGATTTCCATAACTTACCCCTGCAAGATCCTTGATCTATGAGTCACCCACTCATTCAATTTCGCAACATAGGCCGTTAGAAGAACAAACGCCAATGATGCACCACGAACGCCACTCTGATGAATACTGAAAACAGCAGCCAGGGGAATAGAGATCGAATAAATCGTACTGTATGAGTGCCCACGTAGATAGGGCGTGTAGATGAAGAAAAATATCGCCAGTCGGGCATAGACGAAGCTGTCAAGCGCTGATATAGACACTCTGTGTAGAATGGGTAGTTCGAATAGGTATGATGCGATGCAGATGAGTGGACGCACAAATGCACCAGTTTGGTAAGGTGGGCGAGTTGTGAGTGGATCGCCGCGACGAAGCGTTTTCACCAGAACCACGCTGCTCCATGTCCAAATCAAGCAAGACAGCACGTCTAACGCGGTAGGAATGATATCGTCATTGCCAAGTCGGGCTTTGGAGATGTGGTATCGAGAGGATTCCATGATCCCGGTGCCGATGTGTATGAAGAGACATGCTTTTTGTATGGAGAACTTTGAGCTGTAGATTCGAACGTGCCGTCGAGTGTGATAGAGGATGATGGTTAGATATACAAGAGCATGACAGATTAATGGTCCCATGTTGGATTTCCGGGACATGGTGACAGTCGCTGGACCAATTTTCGGAACTCGTTCGTGTGTTTATTGCTTGGGATCAAATTGGCAATTTTTAGAAAAGCTCTAAATAGCTGAAATATTCGTCTCCTAATTGGTTTTTCCGATGTTATTAACCTCAGCCCTTAAATAGCCCGGTCCGAATTTGCAACTGGGTCACCTTTTTATGTAGCGTATGGAGATCTTCATTTTGCATAGCATGGTGATACGAGTGTGACCTTACGATCTGCAGGAATCATTCAAAATAGGTAGGATCTGAGTCTCTAAGAGCAAGTATGAAAGTGGTACACGAATATTTGAGTAGTGGAATAGCATTGCCATTGCGTATATCTAGGCCAATTGGCCGGTGAACCATTTTGATAGCGTGGTGTTCTGATCAACGCAGCCTCGTGTGTAATTCGCTAGGAGTTGACCCGTGCAAAGTCCTCGAGGGCTGCCATCATTTCTTTACATTTGACAATCTTCTTTCTCTGGCATTTCAGTACTTTCAAGCGAAGGAGTTTGGGTCTGAATGGAGTGAGAGATCGCTGCTGGTGAATATGATATGCCGAAGGCAATATAATGAAGCCAACATGATGAAGCTGGATTTTAATGAAGATAATCCAAGCCGACGGTGATTGAGGATAAAGAATTCATCTATGAGGATGATGAGGAAGGAAAAGTAAGGGAGGAATGTGACGGATGGGCATTTTCTGCTCGAGAAAATAGATCTCATGGCCCCAAAAGAGACAGAATCATCACATTCCTCTATCTGTGTACAAGAGACCCTTCTCATGTTGACCGGATTGAGATTGGAACTCCGGCGGGACACCTGTGTCAATGTCGTCATTCCATTTAGACAACATTGGTAAGACTTTGCAATTGGTGGTAGTTCGTTTGTCTTGATGGAAGCTTCGCCATTTCGATTCCTGTCATCGAACAAATACGAGTGTTAGTGGGTATATGCGAGTGTGAATTGCTGTAGGAGGGCTTACTGAAGGTGGATTCAAATCAATCGACGATTCTTGCGAGACAAATGGTATGGTGAGACCATCTTGGTTATGTAGGTGTGTCCAACCGCGCCACTCATAGTAAAGACGGGCTCATATTCTCCAAGAAGGGCTAAATAGAAAAGCCCTTGGCGCGTGGTAATAATCTCCTTAGGATTCATACAGATCGTCGTGTGTGATCATAGATGGGTGTTGATGAGTCTGCTCTTCTTGCCATTGAGAGAATCAGATGGTGAAGACGCTGAATGGTTCGTGCTCTTCTCGTTATCCTTCCGTTATCTCTGATTGCATCCCAAGTATGTAGGAAACTCCCGTATAAATTCCTTAATTATTTTTCCATGCTTGATGGGTGACTATAAAGCTTCCTGCTTTTTCTGGGTCCCAAGTCTCAACCTTTCTCATGACAGTCTTCGCATCGAATTTCGCATATAGCGAGCCACTTGGCCTATAAGATAATATAATCATTAGTACACGAACAGATCGTCGGTAGGGTGTACATCATACCAGGGATATAGTTTCTTCTCTTGGAGGGTACCGCGATATTGTACTCCTTCGCCCCTCGCTCAACATCGGAACGTGGTCCGTACACTGGTGTGGAAGTACCACGCGGAGTCGATGGTTCTACGATTGGATAAATGCAGTGACTGCTCCCCCAAGGCGCTTATTCCTTCCAAGCCTGCTTCATCTCCTAATAGTAACGCTTCCCCGGAGATACAGCTTGATGACAGTCGGCAAAGGTTGCTCTATCTGCGAAGCACCACGTACTCTGGTTGTGAATTACAGAGGAGGTAGTTGTGTTGTGGGCTATGAGTGACAAGAAGGGGGCTTATGGTGATAGCTCTCGCTTGGATTTCGTAATATATATGAATATGAGACGTGCGACACTTGACAGGGAGCTTTCAAAGCTGCTTGTCGAGATGGTAAATAGATATGTGGGAAGATAGTGAAAGTGAGAATGAAGGGAGAATAATGTAAGAGAAAGGAAAAGGGGAAGGAAGTGTGGGGTTTAAGAAGGACTTACATATATACTAAACATTTATTTAACTGAGGCAGGAACTATCAAACCACTCAAGCTTTCGCGTGACCTATTCCCACAGAAACGTACCCAGCGGTATAGGCGTCAACTGTCAAAACCCTATGGTGGTGCCTTAATGCCTAGCTTTGGCCTGGCGGCCTGAATTAATAACGGGGAGAAGAATTAAGATAACTACCTAAATTACCATAACACTTCCCTTAATAATCAAAGTAGCCTGATTTTGCTGGCGTTCACAACTTTAAAATATGAAGCTTTTGATCAGCATACAAATTAAGAGATCTCGACATTCTTGGAGGGTTTACAAGTGTTCAAAATGATACTTTTCATCAGCATATAGTCTACTTATAAAAAGTATTTCAGTCTTCTCATGACCCCATCTTTTCTGCCATATTTAAGCTGAAGTCCTAATACCAATCCACTAGACTACGCCCAGCCCCATGGGACAGGGGAGACAATCACAGGCCTTATCTGGAATAATTACAGTTGGTCAAGAGCGATGTATCTACGAAATTGTTGTAGTCTGCACAAGGTTCGCGAAGCCGAAAATCTGAATTGAGGTACAAGTGTGACAAATAAACCAAAACAACATATCTGAGGGAAGATACCGCTATCTCCACCTTTACTCAAAATGATGAAGGTTTCTGCGCAAGTAACGTTATTGGCTGCCAATGGTATGCTGCCCCCTGTCTGACAGCTGCCATCAATTCTAGCAAGAGGTCGCCCCTGCTGCTATCTGGAATCTTTGAGTTTTGAAAGCTCTCCATTCTGCGGAACATCTCGGCGAGCCCCGCCAGATAAGTAATGGAGCAGAGGGGAGCAAGACTAAGAGGAAGCTCCTCCGTTTGACTGGCCAAAACATTCAAACCCTGTTGTTTGACGTGCTCCGGTATATTACCAAGCCAGCTGGGTAAATCTGTTAGTGCTATTTTCTGAAAGCTTTGATCATAGCAAAGAGCGTTGGCTTACTCGAAGTGAATACCTTGAGCCGTAAAGGTCGATCTCGCCACTTGTGAAAACTGTTCTGCTAGTTCTCCTCGAAGCACCAATCTCCCGGTGTCGGCTTCCTCCCATTGAAGGTAACCGCCAGGTTCTATACACATCAGTCTGTTTAGTCACGTTCATTTGAGATATTTGAATGTCAGCTTACTCAGGAGACCTGCTGCATGTCGTATGAGTTGAGCAGGGTCATTGTTTCTCACGATGGAACACCAATATCGCATGTGGACCACGTCATACTTGTTAGCGAGATGGTCTGGCACATCTCCAAAGGCATCAAGCCTGTTAAAGGTTACATTCGCCGGCCAGAAGTCCTGGTGAGGAAATTGTTCCTCGGAAAAGTCAAAGCCATCTAGTTGGGCGCTTTGGGGAAGCTGAGATGCTAAATCTAGAAGCCATATTCTGACAGAGCCACGGGGGATCAGTTAATTGAAAGTCAGCGTAGGAAAGGTTGATATACTAACCCCGTCCCTGTGCCAATCTCCGCAACCTTCATCTCTGGAGATTGAGATATCGCAGGGTTCAATACATAGCCCTTAGATATCCTCAAGATAAGGTGCTGTGCATCCAGCCTGGACCAATCAAAGAAGTTAATAGTAGATCCTCGATCGGGTCTATAGTCGCCGTACGAACCTGATTGAACTTTGTAGGTCTCTTTGAAGTACATAATCGTCCGCCATTGTGAAGGGATCACGATTGGAATATAGAAATCAATGGGAGGTTGGCTCTGCGCGGTATATGATATTTACTTTACGAAAACCAGGCCCAGCCGATAGGTCTATATACTCAGGCATGTATTGGGACCCCACAATAGTTTGCAGGATGATCATTACCCTCAATATCGCGAGCGTCTGCTAGATATTAAAGTAGGAAATCCATGATGGCATAGTAAGGCCATTTTTGTTGGGTTGCAGGGTGATCAGATCGCCTACTGCTGTCATACTATCTAACCTCCAAGTAGCACGAGCAACTTTCATGCTTGTCAGATCCGCTATACACGCTATGAAATATTTTCGAGTAGCAAATGGCTTTTAGCATCCTCACATATCGCCCTGATTAGCTGGGCTCGGATTCCACGAAGCAAAGTGCAGTCGATAAAGGAGCCTGATCAGTTTTCAAATCAGAGAAATTATGCTATATGTGCCAGCATAGTAGCTGTCGTAGACCTTCGCAAAGCCCACAAAGCCCAATGCCCAACCTAACCCAACCCACTAATGGGCTAGCCTTTGGGCCTATCTTCGGGCCCACTGGTGGGCTATAGGCCCGGTGTGAAAGCCCACTGGGCCCATAATAGGGGCCTAATGCCCATAATATTCCGAAAAACGTGACTTTACTAATCACCTTATATTTAGACCCCGTTTTTAGCCCTTAGATTAGGGTAATATTTTATTATTTTAATGATTACGTTATTAATAATTAGCTAAATTCATATATTACGTTTAAACACGCGAAAAACACGTTGGTTAGATAAGTCTTGAATTAAAGAGATTCACGCAGAAAGTAAAAATTTATATCTATCAAAGTTTAATATTAACATTTTGTTTCGATATCCACTAGTCGGATTTTGTTCAAAGTTAGAATATACACTTATAAAGCTATTGTAATTCTAAATTCTATATGATGGGGGCCCACTAGGCCCCTAACAATGGGCTGTGGGTTAGGTCAGGCTTCGAAGGTTAGGTCCGTAGCCCACTGCTGGTTGGGCTTTCGGCCCGGGCTCGGGCCCATTTATGGGCTTTGCGGAGCTCTAAGCTGTCGTATATTTGCATACTCTATCCGCGGACTATGTTTGTATCCAGTAGGTACCCCATTAAGAAGTCCACCACCCGATTAATAAGCATAGCGAAATCAGACACCTTGCATATCTTATTCCGGGCCACCCTAATGCATGTTTCTAATTCCAGGATCTTGCAAATCGTCTATCTTCTGCAATTCTCCGACTTCGGTCAGGATAGGAAAATTCCGCCACCCGGTATGGAGATGGTCGTACGGATTATCCACACTATTTCCCTTTTCGACTACCTATCGAATAGTGGCACAAACTGATGATCAGCCCTGTATCTATATTGTTGTATGAGATGGCAAGATTCGCATATATAATCCATAATAAGACTTCAAAATGGACTGAATCAGTTTCCTCTCGCAGTACAGACTGTCATTTCACCCCATGCAGATCTGAGAGTAATATCAACACTTTTTTCCAAATGTATTGTCAGCAAACCAGGTGTTTACTCGCCGCGAGTCTTATCAAGTCCAATTACTTACGCTGTACGGTGCTCTTAAGGAAGAAGACTTTTCAAAAGTCACTGAAAGCGCCATTTCATCACTCGGGGTTTCATATTAGGCCCCCAAGAGCTGCACAGAAAGCCACAATATCATCAAGAAAGGGCAATGATCTTGAAGTTGAACCTCAAGTAGTGGTTCCGGCCCACCCTTTGGATATTTCTAAATCCACCATAACAAATAGAAAGCCAACATACGCCCCTAATCGATCCCTGATGGGGTTGACAGGTGGCCAGATCGTGTGTGAGATGCTTCGAAGACAGAATGTTGATTGTATCTGTAAGTTGATCCTCAAGGGCAAGATGCTTGCTTCGTCATTTGAGTACGCAAGAGGATTATATAGGAACTGACGAGATGAACAACGCACAGTTGGGTACCCCGGTGGAGCGATTTTGCCAGTGTTTGATGCCCTATACAAAGATCCGAATTTTCGCTTCATTTTCCCGCGCCATGAACAAGGGGCCGGTCATATGGCAGAGGGATATGCCCGCGCGTCTAGGAAGCCAGGAGTGGTTCTGGTGACCTCGGGGCCGGGTGTGACCAACCTCATCACACCTTCACAGGACGCTCTAAAAGATGGTACTCCTCTGGTTTGCTTTTTTTTTTTTTTACAAGCTCTGGCGTACTAGGGCGTTGCATTGTTCATTTCATCTTTTTTGCGCTGCCCTGATAAACAAAGCCAAGAAACCTGTTATATACGCGGGTAACGGGGTACTGTCGTCTGCTGAAGGTGCAAAATCACTGGCACAACTAGCTGAAGCTGCCTGCATTCCTGTGGCAACTACTCTCCTTGGAATGGGCTGTTTTGATGAGGAGGACCCCAAGTCATTACGAATGCTGGGTATGCATGGCACTGCCTACGCAAACAAAGCTATCCAAGAGGCCGATTTGGTAATCGCTCTAGGTGCACGTTTCGACGATCGAGTGACAGGGGACATTGATCGCTTTGCTCCTGTTGCGCGAGCAGCTGGCAAGGAAAATCTCGGTGGCATAATTCATTTCGAAATCCACAGTCCACATATCAACAAAATTATTGAGTGTGATGCAGTCGTCCAAGGCGATGTGACCGCAGGGCTTACCGAGCTCTTTCCACATGTTAGAAAGATAAAAGATCGACCGGAATGGATGGGACAAATTGCCAATTGGAAAAAGAAATATCCAATGAAGCCGGCGGCTTCGCTGTGTGCAACGCGAATCTCTCCCGAGGCCGTCATATCACGACTGAGTGACCTCACTAAGCAAGCACAAAATCGGATTATTGTGACTACTGGCGTTGGATCACATCAGATGTGGGCGACCCAGTTCTTTCGATGGGCTGGCAATCGTTCGTTGATCACTTCTGGGGGGCAGGGACGATGGGATTCGGGCTCCCTGCAGCGATTGGCGCCAAATTGGCGCAGCCCGATGCGATGGTCATTGATATCGATGGCGATGCATCTCTCAGCATGTCCTTGACTGAGATGTCTGTCGCCGCGGAGTATGGCATTAATATCAAAATTTTGGTGCTCAACAATGAAGAGCAAGGCATGGTCACGCAATGGCAGGCGCTCGACTACGACAAGCGATACTCTCACAGTCACCAACAAAATCCAGACTTTGTGAAAGTGGCTAATGGAATGGGGATTGACGCTCAGCGACTAGATGCTGTATCTGATATCTCAGACAAACTCCAGTGGTTGGTCGATTCAGAGGGCCCTGCTTTGCTAGAGGTCAAGGTGGAAGATAAGGTGCCCGTTCTCCCGTGGGTCGCTCCTGGTAAGGCCTTGGACGAGATAATTATGACTCGTGACCAGATTTGGGCCTCTAAGAAGTAGGCGGGTAGGTACCGTGGCAAGAAATGTGACTCAATTTCCTAAGGTGATTAGCGGAAGGCCATATAGGTGGTAGTACGAAGACTCATAGCCCTCAGGGTTCAAAACTCCTTTTAGGGGGGAATGGGTGTCTGAATGCCTTACTTGGCACCGCTCTCTTTTCATCTCCATATAAATGGAGGTATCTCGACTTTCTTAGACGGTTTACAAGTGTCAAAAATGAAGCTTTTTATCTCTATGTTCTTAGACGGTTTATAACACCACGGAACGGAATATCTAGGGCCGATAACTGGTCTATATTGAAATTTGCTAGCTGGCTATCATATATGCCACGTAGTAACTATATAGTAGAATACTATTGGCACAGCGATTTTACTATTAGCATAGTGGTCTAATCCTAATTAGGGGTAGTCCTTCTTAGCGCTTATTTTTTATTGGTATAAGCACGTATCCTTTGTTCGTGTATAGGACATGCTAAGTCTTGAAAAATAAGCATGAAAACCACCCATTTGGAGTTGAAATAACCCTCGCCATACCCATCGTGTCCTCATATTCATAAACTGCTGAAAAACAGGAAATTCGGAAGACCACTGATATATTAGAGATTCATCAAACAGCCGCAAACAGAAAGAAAAGATCAAAATCAAATAAACGACATGGTCTCATAAGTCATGAAAAGAGTAAAAAGTCATATCTCGAAAAAAGGCACGCTAGTAAGAGATCTGCGCCGCCTCATGTGCCCCATAAGGATTCCCATCACGATAAACAGGGGCATGGTCGTTCCGAGATTCGTTGATCGAAGGCGCATATTCAATCTCATCAGGCCAGCGATGACGCCGAGAAGGCGCACCCTGGCTACGAGCACGACGACGCTCACGTTTGACAGCCCGCTGAGCACATTCCTCCTGGAAATGCGCAGTTTCCTTTCGTTTCTCCATAACCTCCTTCCATTCACCATAGGCGCCCTTGATACCGAGGGCAGCAAGACCGATACTCACAGCGTCTTTGGTGTTAGCTTTCAATCGTCGTTTGCGAGCCTCCTCAGGCGTAATCTCTCCCTCTTTCAACTGCTGCATCCGCTCTTTCCTCTTCTCCATGCTACCGTAAAGACCGTGCGCGGCGTGGATGGTAGCCACGCTAGCCAGACCTCCCGTCATAAGCATATCCCGTTTCAGCTTCTTGCGTTTCTTCATCTCATCAGAACTGTCACCTAGGTCAGAATCACTCTCGGAGCTCGACCCGTGGCGGTCTTTAGAACCGGCACGCGGTTCACCGCGCGCTGCGCTGGGTGCATATGGGGGTGGAGTTCTGCCGTCCAATGAACGGTATCGACCTACATCTCTCGAGCCTTTGCCCCGTCTCGAGTCCCGGTTGTAATAATCGCTGTCCGCATCTGAATCCGTGTAGTCGTCGTTTCGATGGCCCCGGTGATGACGCCGTTCTCGGTCGTCCCGATGCTCCCGACGATGCTCCCGATGATGATCCTTACGACCGTCTCGGCTGTCGCGACGACTTTCTTCTTGTTCTCCAAGCCCCAAGGCGGCCATGCCCTTGCTGAGGTACTCTGAAACGCTCTTGCTGCGCTTGTGGGATCCACGCTCTGAATCACTGCCACGGGAATCGCTGCGGCCGCGAGGCCGAGAACGCGATTTGGAGTATCGATCGAAGATTTCCTTTCCTGCAGCAGCAATAGCTCCAGTGGCAGCGAGGTTCTTGAGACCACCACCTGAAGAGTGACCACCGTCCCGGCCACGAGATCGTGAGCGAGAACCGCCACCCACGAAGTGACTGGCAGCCAGACCTGCAAGCGTGGACTCGATAACATGACGTTTTCCGTGCTTGCTAGGATCTTTATCGACAAGGCCGTCAGTTCCACCAGCAGTCACAGCAGCAGTGAGGACGCGCTTTCCTTTCGCACCGGCCCAGTCACCAGGCTCTTTGCGCTGTTTGAAAGCCTCAACTGCGCCGGCTGTCAAGGCGGCACGAGCAGCCTGTATAATGCGCTGCTCGCTTTTATCGCGCTTGCTGCCTCCATCACGTTTGCTGCCGCGATAGCGGCTGCGACTGCGTGAATCTGATGGCGACCTTGAATATGATCTACGGCGATGGTGGGACGGGGAACGGCCGCGACCACGTTCTCCGCGACTGGCCGAAGCAGCGGCACCCCCGAGGCCTAAGGCACCCAGGGCTTGCTCGCTGAATGACTTGCGACGTCTGTTGCGGGGTGGAGAGCGACTTGGAGAAGAATCTGAATCGTATTTTGGGCGACGAGAGCCTGAGAGATATTAGTATCATTTTTCACTGTATCAGCGCTATATCACTCACGTTTATCCTCGTAGTGTCTTGACCGACGAGGATCGGAGCGTCGGTAGGAAGCATCGTTGTGTGGATCGTAACCGCTTACCGAGGAAGCACGGCGCACATTTTCGTACACGGGTCGTCTCGGCCGTCGAGAAGCATAAGAGCGCTCGTAGGCATAGTCTGAGCCTGGTGGGTAGTCGCGCTGGACTTCCTCGACCGAGTCGGTGCTAGCGCGGGGTATGTATGAGTCTCGCTCGTGTCTTCGATAATGGCCACGAGGGTCATCATACGGATCGGCATAACTGGCGGGGCGTGTGTAGCGGTCGCGGGGCTCGCGATAATGGCGATCCTCGTAGTACGCCATGGTTGAGGCGAAAGTGAGGCACAAATGAAGAAATAAAAGTCGAGTGTTGTGAGCTGCTACCGTTCACTGGGAGGATGAAAAAACGAAGTTGATCAGAGGTGTATGGCGGGGCTGGGGCTGGGGGTGACGTCGATGTGGATTCAGATGGGCGATATAGGGGCTGAGAGACTTGGCAGTGGCTGAGAGAAATAGATGATAGAGATAATACATAGAAGAAAAGTAGACAAAAGGTTTCAATGTTCTTATTCAGAAAATATATGACTATATATACTAAATCAAGATTATGTCAATGACGTACAACAGAAAAGCGAAGGAATGTTTCAAGAGCGGATATACTCCCATCGAATGAGCATCTAGACTGATGTTGTGTATATCAAATATTCCTCCGACGTCATTCTGCAGTTTTAGTGTCAGGGAATTTTTAACGGTCCAGCCCTATATACAGATAATTCGACATTTTGAACTAGATTGCTTATTTCCTTCAAATGATATACTACCTAGGTATGTACGCCAGTATATAGAGATATAAAAGATATAAAAAAATGTCGATTAAGATTTATGGAACGTAAACAATGGTTCCACGGGTCGCCTTCGGGTCCTAGTTACGATCGATTCTTTTAACTGGATGCACATAATTTATGGGAATCCCTGAAAGGAACGGACAATTGGTTCTCTTAGAACACGAGATTCAGATGGTACACGAGGGATATAAAACAGGGAAATAATAACACATAGTAACACGTATGATAGGCCTAGACGTCTCGATATTTTGAAACGTGTAGTCATGCAGATCGCTGGAAAATAAAAAGCAAAGATAAAAAGATACAGGTTGGAAAGAATTGACAGTCCAAAAAAAGAACGGGACAGAGACAGAATCGAAGTACACCGCACAGCAGTGGCCAGGCACAAGGGACCAAAAAAGGAAGTCGTATACGAAACAGGAAATAGAGTGGACGAGGAAAACGAGACCGTATTCCCTTAAGGCGCCTGTGGAGCAGGCCCTGGGGGAGGCCGTACAGCCGTCTCTATGGGTTGACTGATATTGCGCTGGTGGGAAGCCGAAGCGTATGCCGAGTCGGGACGAGCCATCGCCCAGCGAGCATCAGCCTCCGGCTCCGAAGTAGAGCGCATATCATCCGAGTGCGTGCGGTGGGTCCGGATATGCTGTTTCATATTGTCTTTCCTCGTAAAGGCTTTGTTACAGATGGGACAATGCACACTCTTTTCACCCGTGTGCTTTTTGCCATGGCGCGCCGCATGGCCGGAAGTCGTAAATGTTGCAGCGCACCCATGGCTCGCGGCATAAGGACATGGGTACTTGTTCTTTCGTCCCGTGCCACGCGTCGCTCCGGTCTGAGACGACGCCGTTTCGGATGTGCTCGAGCGTGTCTCAGGTGGCGTTCGAGCTGGGCCACGACCTGGGAATCGGTACGGGTCCCGTCGTGGATCCTGTCGGGCATACGGGTGATAAGCTGATGGCTGGCTGGTGATATAGTCGTAAGTCGAGCCATCCGATGACCCGGGGGACACGGGGACGACTTCAGTCACCGCCTCCAAGTGACGCCTGGTCCCTCGGGGTGATGTTGCTGGTGATTCGGATGATGCCTGGGGACGGTGCTGTGGTTCGGGCGGGGGTAGTTGCTCTGAATGTGGATAATATGATGACTGAGACCGACTAAGTCGGGGCGCGGAACGGACCGCGAAAGATGGGTTATCATCATTATTCAGAATGGACACAATAGTTGTCCTACAGCTGGACATCTCTTCAATGCCCCGATGTGCGGTCACCGGGGCTGGAAAACTATACTAAAAGGCAGAATGCAAGTTAGTTTAGACTGGCAACCGGCTCAGCCGGGATCTGGATGCTCGTAAGAGCTTGAGAGATCACCGATCTGAGACAAGGGGAGAAGGGAGACGAGGGTGTTGAAGAGAAAGAACATCTCGCTCATTTCTTCCCCCGGAGGACACGACAAACGCACCAGCGGCTCTCGAAAGATGTTTGTCCTCTGTGTCGTGTAACACGTCGACAACATTAGACCCTAAATCGGCACTCGCCTGCAGACCTGAGCAAAGGCCTGATGACTCGAGCTTGTGCCGCGCTCCGTGTGTCTTTTTGAGGTACGGAGACGAAAAGAAATACCTCCCAGGTTGTTAAATGGAGATATGACAACGATAGGGCAAGGTGAGGTCTGACAAATCTCCCTTCCCTTGCAGTTGAATTTCTTCCGAGGCTCAGGTGTTTTTTTATTCCGTTTTCTCCCTTGGATTCCTTTTTTTTTCCTTTTCTGATTTTGCAATTGAAGGGAACACAATCCTCAACGGCAGTTGCAAACAGGCCTGGGAATGTTGCAGAAAAGTCGAAGTTCAACGCCGTCTAACCGTACGAAGTAACAGTTCTTCCAGAGAAGTGCTAGGATGTCTGGGAATAGAAATGAAATGCGCTCTGCGCGTGCCCGTGATAGAGGTAAGTGGAAATGAGATGCCCGATACGAGATAAGATGAGGGAGCGTTGATAAATAAGTAAGATATCAAATAGGAATACAGTTCAAGAAGTAGAAGGGGAAAAAAAAATATGAACCAAGTATGGCTATTGGTAACTAATTATACTTAAAAAGGGCGAAAGAAGCCAAGCTCCAGGGTCTCGAGGCTCCAGATACACTTCCATACCGAGCACGCTATTTGGAGAAAATAAAAAAGAAATATAAGACATAATACAATACCAAGACCCCTAATCCACCTGTGCAGACCCGTTTTCTTCTCCGTTTCTTCCGGGCCGCCCGCGACTCCGTGGAGGTCTGTGACTTTTGTGACTTTTGTGTTTCTTTTTTGATTCTTAAATTGCTTTTGATTCACTCTAGCTTTCTTTCCCTTATAAATATACTATATGGTGCAGTTGAAAGTATTAAACGTGTTAACTCCGACTAAGTTGTCATCCGGACTAGGGCTTCGGCTGGGTCAAGCGACAGGAAATGATCCACCATTCGGCAGAACTACGGACAATGGGACGATTGGACCCTGAGGTTTATGTATTTTATTTTAGGAATTTGAATCTAAGATAATCTGAGAATGGACAAGCTTTCAGCCCATACCTTGTAATATCCCAGCTTACGGAGTGCTTAGATTCTAGGGCTAAATCCGACATACGTAAGTGATGATGTTAGTACCTTGACCTGTTTGGGAACTCACCTCCGGGGGATTCAAGAGTATTGGAATCAATTCCTAGATTGATTGGCGGACTAGTTTCTTACAAATTACAATATTTCTTTTTATTACTGCAGGGCGATCTCGCCCTAGGGGGGAAAACGATAAGCCACCAAAGGTCCAGCCCTGGGAACTCTAACGCTCTAACGAATCTATTACCTCTTCAGGGTTACAACGTGCCCTTGTTCCTCTTTTCTGGAAAGAGTACTTTACGCCGAGATTTTTTTCCCCGAGATCCTTAAAGGATTTCCTAAAATTACATGTACCGTTATACGGAGTACACAATATACAAAGTCAAAGGATTTGCGTCCCCAGTAAAGATAACCTAATTAACCTAATCTGCCTCGTCTACGTCAATATTTTAAAAAACATTTAGGGGGTGAATGGTAGCCCGTGCATGTATTCGTATTCGCGTTCAACATCCGCCCCGCTCCGAGAACATTCGCGGGGGATTCTCTTTCCCTCCAGGGCTCTACGTTGCAGGACACGTAAGGTAATGAAAGGAGATGTGTTCTTTCTGAGAGATATGATCTATTCAAAGACCTTTATTACACTATGAACAGTGTACCCCCGATATCCGGTATATCATTTTCTCTTTCCCTCGGTTTCTCCAAATATCAAACACATGGCACCGCAGATCAAGCCAAGCTTCAATCTACCGATCTGCTAGAACTCTTGAGAAACACGCGGTTCGTGGACGCGGACCGTGTTGGGGCTTTTCCAGCCGAGCGTTGATTTGCCTATACTCGATCTTAGACGGGGCATACGTATGCAGACTACGTATAGCCACGCGACTCCGTAGTTCCTGTCTAGTCCTAGCAAATACGCTTCCGTGCTTGTCTCAACTAAAGATCTGAATTCTCTTTCCAGCTTACGCCACAGACTTGATTCGTCAGAGCCCTATACCCGTCGCTTTATTTTACGTTCCTGGAAAGACCCTGTTTTTTGGCTTTTTACCTCTTATTTTTACTCGGACGCAGGGACTCGTGGCCCGCATTACTAGACTAGCCCCCAAGGTTGACCAATACTATAGCTTCGCTCTAATCCCGACACCGTTCCCGCTTAGTCGCATGGATACCCCAATTTAGTACCACTTTTCTTTTGCCTACGCGGCCTCTTATATTGAAACCATTCAAGTCAAAAGTAGTAAAATTCAACTGAACTTTGATACGGAGAGACTTTAAAAATCTCTCCGACACCCGTCGGACATTCGGATATAAAATGTCCGACCCAAAAAGATTTTAATCTCCACTTCGAATCAAAAATTGCCACTCAGCCACTGCATAAAACTGCTGCCTGGTTTCTAGAAAGTAAAATACACAAGTCAATGCTCATAAGTCGGCATTTATGCTTAACTCCATAGAGACGATCCGGCAGATAGCATCCCGGTCATCCAAGCGCGGAGACTTCGCTTCCATTGTGGCTCAAGTCCGGATGCTTTCGCACTATTGATCTTTGAATCTATTTCCAGTATTCGGGGTGACTACCTTTCCTGGATTATGGATCTGTGCTGGGTTCCATATTAGCATTATAGTGCCTGGAGATGCTTAATACTTCGTAGGCATATATGCTTACAAAGCGGAGCAAAATAGCCCGGGTTATTATAAATGGGTTAACTGTTTATGCTATACGAAGGAACTACATTTCTCCAAAATTGGATCGACAACCCTGAAGGTTATAGTCTGAGCGTTACAACCCCAGGTATCACAGTTTAGGCTACAGTCAAAAACCCTTCCAAGAATTCATTCTCGGTAAAAAGGCTTTTCCCCTGGGAAGCCGAGACCCTGTTTATTACAAACATATTTCCGAGATTGGGAGTTAAAATATCGAACTGTATATTCTAGGAATCAGAACTCGCGTATTCAATCCCCTCCCCATTTAACTAAGTTTATCAAAGTTTATGTTTCCACTTTGCCCTACAATTTCGTGAATCTCTAACGTTTGTACTAAGGACACCCAATAGTCCAAATTTCCCGAAATAAACCCGCTATATCTGGCCACGTGGAAGAGACCGGACATCCATAATGACTAGTATGCGCCACTGATAAGGGTTCGGCCGAATATGGTTGTGGGGGTGTAGGAAAATGGCTGTCCGACGTACAGCGTGCCTAAGTTCACTAGGTACTCCATAGTGAACGGTGGCTTAGACAAGGCGCAGCTCGTTTTGGATGCTTGGAGATGGTCAATGCATACGGCGTACAGAACATGACTCAGTACAGCAGTAGAGATCCGGTTTTGATACTAAGACTAATTGGCCTTTATTTCTATTTATGTTTCCCGTCTATTGACTTCCAAACAAGCATTAAGCCTACTATATCCATATTAGCGTATCTAGTATGCATGAGGCTGCGTAAGCAGAAACGTCATGTTGGACTGTCCACGCTCCATGGCGTTGTGTGCATGCGAATATGCCAAGCAAGAGGGAAATTACTTCGAATACTGATAGGTTAGCCCCTGCATATTTGGGTGGGGAGTCCGATGCTAAGGCGCTTACCTAGAGATGGTATGTTGGGAGTTCCGGGGAGCTTTTCGGGAATCCCCCGAGCGGAGAGGGATGGATACGTGGACGGATGTCGTAGCGTTGCTTCTTTTGGTTATCGAGATGTCTCAGGATCATTATGCGTTTTGCTCCATTCGAAGGCTAGATAACGTCTATAATGGACTATTGAATCACAGCGGCTAAGTGAATTGACACTATCGCCAGTGTGTCAGTATCGATGCAGTCACCGGAAGTCTTTGCAAACCTCTCAAGCTACACCAGAGACTGAAACCCATATCACACATTGGCTTCAAAAGGCTAACAAGATATGAGACCTAAGTGGTTAGAAGCTAACAGTCTCTGTGCTCAGTCTGAGAAATATCATGCCTCGCGACCACTCATCGACTCTCTCGTCATGCCCAGTTCCCTTTCTATGATCTTGAGAGACTAGCTAACAGAGTCTATCTAATGGAGTGGACTTCTTCAACAACAGATACTAGGTATGGTCCTCAAACACACGTTAGAAATATATTACTGAACCCATGCTAACTTTATTTGATCAATCTTGTCAGACTCTTCAACAAATTTCTACACCCGGTCCTTATTCCCCTCTCCAAACCTACAGTACCCTGATGAATCGGCTACTGGGTTCAGGGCAGAATTAATCCCAAATCATGCAGTCAGCAAAAACCGATCCTCCAGCCTGCCTCTCTCTTTCTCTATCTTAGTGTGTCTCTTGTCATTTTGCCCGGAAGAGAAGCAGATCCACCATTCTCCAGGGCTGACTAGTACACATGTCATCCAACTTCGAAATGGAAATCATGCTGCCAGTGTGACATACGGGCGCCAGCGCCCGGGTCCTGCGTGTGATGAGTGGCCATGCCGAAAGCTGCGCTGCGATGTACAGCAAACACAATGCGGGGTTTGTCATGGACAGGGACTGTGTGCGAGGTTACACTACCTGGGGGTTGAAGACAATGGGTCATCTGAAGATACATCGGAATGGAGTCGTGCATGTAGAGGCTATGCCGAGTGGCCTTTTCGGCGCAAAGGGAATAAGAAGGCTTCCATGGTTCTCTGAGTAGTAATGGGCTGGCAGCATTGACATCGTGGATGAGATGCATTCTACTGGACCTGTGTACACTAACGCCGACAACCTCCTGTGCCAGAGCTCAAAGTTTGAATTCCTGCTTGTCTCGACTTGGCGTCCTCGTGGCCGGCCTTTTGTTCGACGTTGTCAATCACATACCACAAGGCATTCGCCAAGTACCATGAGACGGAAAAAAGGCAAATTCGAACCCCCAATTCAGGGCAATTCAAAATCTGATGACAAAAAGAAATGAACAAAAAAAGAAACATGGTTTCAGAGGGTAACCCTCGACTTTGACGTTATTAGCACCACACTCTAACCAACTGAGTTATGGAACCCGGTTCTGTTTTTGGCAGCTATTTACGTCTTATCAGGGATTTCTCATATTAGTGCGCTAGCATCTATGTAAATTCGATAAAGAATGATTCAATCTATAAGACAAAATGTTTGTGTCTCATGCGGGTTTTAGATTGTCTTTGTGTTGACTTCGCCGACAGATTGATCTTACTTCTCTCTCCCTCTCCCTACATCCATATCTCTTCCTTCTTTGCATTTACATCATTGCCAACAATGCCTTCTAACCTAATCACTGTCACCCAGGGAACCTGGCTGCCAGAAGAAGTCAAAGTCAGCATGCTGCCCGACCTCCCAAAGCTTACCACAAGCATGGACCCTAGCGAGTGGTGTCGTATTGTACGCAAGGCTCTACGCCTAGACTTGCTCCATTTCCTGGTTGAAATTTCGGTCATCCACCCCAAACCATCCGACAAAGATTACGAAAACTGGCTTTCTTGGTCGGCTGCTGTCTACCTGTGGCTGTATACGAACATGGAAGAGAACGTGCGGAATATGATCCACAACATGTCTGATCGACCTGAGGATCTGCTCGCTGATTGGCTTTAAAATGCTATCAACACAATGACAAACAACCACAATGCGATTGACGGCGCCAACCAGTGGCGCATATGGTGCTCCTTGCACCGAACGAACTACCCATCGGCCGCCGCCTACATCGCCGTATACTGAACACAATTTGACACCATTTGCAAGCTTGATCAGGCCCCTAGCTGTTTCATTACGCTTTAGAATCTCTAACAGAGATTGACGAATGAGCTGCCAGAAGCCAGATGTGCTATCGGCTATCTGAATCTTCATAGAAGACCGGAGAACTTCGACTACGATACTTTTGTTGCGCACTGCGACCTCATGACTACCAAATTTAACAAACCTGATCTTGTATTCGGCAACAATCTTCCGGACAAATATACCCCTTCCCCTTGCGGTTCCAAGCAACGGAGAGTCTAAGTCGTGGGTCATGGAATGATATCGCCACAAACCTCATCGGGATTGCAGTGGATGGTGCTCCTTTTGTGGCCTTGATCGACATCGCATTGGAATTTCCTCCACACTTGACCCAAGGCTAGCATAATTGCTTGCTGCGAAGGAACCTACAAGTGCTAGATGGGGGATATGAACAAAGCAAAGGAAGACAATATCACTATCATAGATTCGTCTCTTTGAATCCCTTTGTTCAATAACAGGGTGCTGTTTAATCCCTGGTTGATATCTACCCTTTTTATCACATTAGGAACATGTTCTGTAGACGCTATAACTGCCTAGCATAAGAACCAACCGACTAGTAAAGTCAATTATCGTGACATGAAGTTTTCGGCATTTGAACTTAAAAATCTCCCGGCTATGCGGCAAATATATATACAACCATAGAAAGTTTCCCGAGAACGGAACAGCCTCCGCTTTAGAATTATCTTTTTTAGATCGTCAATATGTTCAAGCTGTTGATCTCCTGGGTGTTTACATGTTTATCAACCTTTAAATGGTCTGGCCATGAGAGGAATTCAGCTGTAATATGATTTACTCTACTCTAGCTAAATAACAACTCAAAGACTCCGATTGAACAATATATACAATCGCATTGACCCCCGCAGAATAACGATTGCGGAGATAATACGGGGTGTGGGGTGCATTCTGGGGTTGGGGTCCAACATAAGCCTTCATTGTCTACGCCATATCGGTCTATCGGCTATTGGGAATATCTAGTCCATGCCAAGATACTACTCGTGTTAATACTTCGAGAGCCAAGATTACAGAGCTCTCTATACTCTTGGCTCTGTATGGTGACCCAGAAGTTAAGATGAACGTAGGAATAAAGTTAACAGGTTGGTATAGCCATCTCGGTCTACCTAACTACCGGGTTGAGCGAGGATAGTCGCAAGATTCTCTACTTTATACCTCCGCTCAGGCATCCTTGGACCGTCAAATGCCGACTTTAGATACCCGCTAGAAGGGGTGGATATAAATATCATGGACAGAGCGTGTTAAGCAGACCAGAAACACCTCAAATCACCACTGGTTTTTGGATTTATCATGTTGTTCAGTATCCCGGTACTTCTATCCACGGCTACTCTCATAGCCTCTGGAAAATGCAGTCCCCATACTGTACAGGTCCCATCTTCCCCAAAGAATAATAGCCCGGTCGTCCCCAATGATCTGCAATCGATGTCAATTGAATTTGCATACTTTCCCGACTATGCTGGAAACAAGTCACACCCAAATAAGCTCTCAAAGAACTTACTTCACAATCTCAAATCTCTCACTGGCGTTGCCCCAAAAGTAAGAGTCGGAGGAACCTCACAGTATGTTATATCATTCACCAGATTGTTGATCACAAGTGCTAACAAGAATCTATAGGGACCATGCTACCTACTTCCCCGACCAGGAGGAGAATGTCAAACTGATCTACCAAAATCCCACCGATGATCAGCCGATCCAAATCAATTACGGTCCTGCCTATTTTGAATCGTACCACACCTTGGGAGATATCAAGTATCTTCATGGGCTGAACATGAATCAAAACTACTCGACTAAACAGCTTGAACTCGAGGCGGCGGAAGCTTGTACTTCTATCGGCCCTAAGCTGCATCTGTTTGAGCTGGGTAACGAGTTCAATTTCGCTCCTGGAAAATATCGCGCTGCAAACTACTCACTCCTTGATTATGCTGAAGAGTGGAATTCCAAGTCGGCTATTGTCAAGTCTGCTGTACAGAAAGCCTGTCCTGGATCTTTCCCTGGGTTCATGGCGCCTAGCCTCGTTTTGCTGGATTTTATTACGGGTACTTCCTGGACTGCCGAGGAGCTCTATAGTCTTGGATACGATGAACATAATCTGACCAAGGAGCTATGTTTCCACAAGTATGACATCCACTATCCTTCTTGTTCACTTTTCGCTTTGCTAACTTTTTGGGACAGCTATATGGGCGTCAACGCACCTCCTCTGCCCCCTGCGCAGCTCGATCTTCAACGTATGTCTCTTCACTCCACGCCAGCCGAGTAATACTAATAACGACAGGGACTTTGATGAACCACACAAACATTATGAAAAATCTTGCACTGCAGATCACGCGCTCTGAGAACCTTGCCTATCTCGATCTCCCTTACACCCTAGGCGAACTAAATTCGATCGCAAACCAGGGCGTGAATGGAGAGACTAACGTGTTTGGCGACGCTCTATGGCTAGTCGACTTCTCCCTCTGGGCAGCAGTTCACGTACGAATCAACCATCATCCCCATAAAACAAACCACTAACATTTGAATAGGGCATCAAGCGTTTGCAATTCCACCAAGGTCTGAATTACCGTTACGCCTCGTGGCAGCCAATCGAGAGCAAAGGTGTTCCCCCAACCACCCGACCCCCGTACTACGGTCAAATCATGGTCGCCAGTGCGATCGGAAAATCCAAGAACACGCGCATTGTCAACATCCCTCTGTCGGAGGATACCGAGTCCGCTTATGCAATCTACCATGGAGACCGACTGTCGAAGCTGGTTGTGACAAATCTGCGGGCTTTCAACCAGACCACCTCCAGTCGTCCTCACAGAGAATACAAATTCCACGTGCCTGCACAGCATAAGAGCGCCAAGATTGAGCGCTTGATTGGCCCCGGTAGTGACGCGCTTGAGAATATTACTTTTGGTGGAATTTCATATGATGCATCAAATGAAGGGAAGGCTGTCCAACGGCATTCGAAGGAAGAGACAAGGATTAAGAATGGGCTGCTTACTATCACTGTTCCGGACTCGTCCGCAGTTCTCATCACTCTGTGATTAGTTCGATGGGGAACAGGGTCTAGATATACATATTTAGGTAGAGAGTCACACAGATATAACAGTACGGCTAAGAACGTTTCAAATAGCCGGAGTCGAGACTTGAAAAAATAAGCACTAAATTAAAATAAAATAACGATCTACCTTCAAATCTGCTTAAATCGCAAATTAACAAAAGCACAAACCCGAGATGCCAAGCAGCTAAGCAGCCTACGATAGGACTAAGACCTCGCGAAGAGGCTAGACTTCCCTCTCAGCCATGGGGCTGAAAATACATCCCTTTTTCCCTTTTTAATATCCTTACGACTTAAGACGGCTATTGCGCTTTTTCTTTTTTTTTTTCTCTTTCTTTGCATATTCCACTATGGCTTCATCGCGGGAGTCACAACACTCGCTGCTATCCAAAGATTCACTTGATACCCAACCTCAACGTTCCTGGAATCCACTTAGTAATCGCCTAACCGACTCGGACTATCATTACCACACCCCCTCAGACAGTACTTGGTCCGAAGAAGTCCTGCGCGATGTCGGTCTAGGTATCTCGAACCCAACAGGCGATGCGATTCCCGCGGCAGATAGGCGCGATTCAACCGATAGTGTGGCCACTACGACGCCACGAGATACCTACAAGATCCCACCGTCTCCCCAGACTCCGGATTCTCCACATGCCGCCCACGCCCACGTGTCGTGCCCTAATCGAGGAACAGTTCTCCAGAAACGTCTTTCTTGGGTCCCCTTGACAGTCTTGGTTCTCGCTATCTATGCCACCATCTTTTCAGGTATCTATCTCGGTATTGCGCTACGCAAGCCAAGATGGAACTCGGTCTCCAGTAATGGACCGTTGGTTCCATCTACGGCGGATTTGTTGAGCTCGTTCTTTGCGAAGACGATCGAGTTGGCATATGTTACGATTTGCGTCGCATTTCTGGGACAGGTGCTGAGTCGGCGGGCTTTGACGAGGGATTCGCGAGGAATTAGTATCTCCGATATGAATATGAGGGCCTGGATTATGCAACCCGGATCTATGATTGTGCATTGGGAGGCGTTGCGATATTCGGCCCTCACTTTTCTCGGGTCCGTTGCGTTGGTTGCTACCTTCGTCGCGATGCTATACACCACCGCCGCGCAAGCTTTGGGTAAAGTACTTCTCTTCTATCCACAAGTATCTCACTAACCGCCGACAGTTTCCCCTAAACTCTCTCCTGGCCCTGTGGAATCAATAATCCTCCAAGGCAAGGTAACCTCCATCTTCGCAAACCCCTCATACATCGCATCAGACTGTGAGACACCCGTCACCAACGCCATGGATCCCTATTATCGCAACAATACCTGTCTCCAAATCGTCCACGTCGGCCACGCATATCACAACTACCAACAATGGATCGCCCAATGGGGCCAGCTAGTAGCCAGCAAAAACGAAACTTCAAGCCAACTCCAAAAGCGCCCAGAACCAACTGGCTCACTCTGGGACAACACCACAGTAACAGGCAGCTGGATCGACATCCAAGACATGTCCACTCTCTCCAAAAAGCACGGCCGAATGATCAACAACATAACAATGGCAATGCCACACGGCGGAATCCCCGCCGCAGCAATGAACTCCAAAAACAACATCAAACAACCAACCGACAGCTCCGGCGAAGGAAAATACAACATCGAAGCCTCAGCCCCTTCACCAGCAATCAACGTCCTCTGCGCAGGAATGACAGCGAAAGATCTACTCCCCCTGGTCTACTCCTCCTGGCCCAATGGCCACAAAAAGTTCAACATGACAACCTGGAATTCCCTACCCCCAGACGACATCCCCCACCCACCGTCCTGGCTAAACCGCACATCCGTCGACGCCCTCTTCGAATTCGGCCCGAAATACGGCCAAGTGCCCCCAATTTTCGGAAAGCTCCCTCTCCCATACAACACAATCCTCAACGGAACAGGTAACTGGCCCGCAAACGCAATCTACCTCCTCGGCGCAACGCCACCATCCAAAGATACCAACACCGATCTACCAGAATATGTAATGTGTTCACTGCGCGCCAAACAAACAGGCGTCTGTTCAACCAAATACTCCGCCGACACAAGCGGCGCATTCCTCAGCACGAACTGCGAAAACCCTTCAAACACCTTCCAATACGACCGGCGACAAGGCTCATTCTACGAAGGAATGTGGGACTCAAACTGGAAGAATATCGCCTCCGAATGGGCGAATTCACTCAGTCTAAACGCGGGCATTACAGACGGTGCCGCTAGTAATGCCAGACTGCTCATGCAGATGATGCCTCGATACGACAAAACCAAATCAACATTCGAACTAGACCCAACCTTACCATCTATCGCCGAAGCATTGGCCGTGATGGCTGGTAGCACACTTATCCTGAGTTCGCAGAACTCGCCCTTCGTTCCGTTCTGGAATTACACCGAAGGGACTGTTCTCGCTGAACCTGTTTACCAGAATTTCAACGCATCCATTCAAGCTTTTAGCTATTCATCTGGTGGAACGGAGCAATGGCAAGGGGTGTTCTACGTGGTTCTTGTATTTGCGTTTTTGACTAGCGCTGTTTGTCTCGTGTTTATGATTGTCGAAGCGCGGGGCCGACAAGTGACTGATTTCACTGAGCCGCAGAATTTATTCGCGCTTGCTGTTAATAGTCCGCAGACGACACAGTTGCAGGGTGCATGTGGGTGTGGGCCTTGGGGGAAGCAGTTGAAGGAACGGTGGTTTATTGGGATGGAGGAGGATGATGAGCATTATTACATTCGGAGTAAGACGGAAGAAAAGATTCCGCTTTTGAGGAAGGAGTCGACGCATTTGGAGCCTATGGAGATTGAGGATGGGGGTGGGAGAATGCTTAGTCCTATGGTTGATGAGTTTCGGAGGGTTTCGAAGAGACATTCGTTTTTGGCGAAACTCTATTGAGGAGATGCAGCTGGGAAGGCTGGATGCTTATGATGCATGATTTACAGATGATAATGGTAATGAATATTAGGAAAGACGCTTCGAGCGTAGGACATGAAGCATATGCTTAATTTCAAGTGATATACACTCAGATATGTACAGAATAAAGAGCACCATAGAAGAACAACTAGATCGACACAGTACAGGCACAGCCATGAAAAGGAATCAAAGAGCAACCGGTTCAAGAATTGTGGCACAACGCTAAGGAATCGCTCATACACACAAAAACAAAACGAGGAAGATGCTGGATGCAGATAAAAATGCACGTCAAATGCAACACAAAGCAATAGGCTTTTTCAAGACACTAGTAGCCACGGAGACGCCATAAAAGGAATGGATGAGGAGGTAAGAGAGTCGCGGAATGACCTGGCGAGGTGAGGTAGGTGTTTGTTGAAAGTGAGGGAGAGTATGGGAGAGTTGGGTCTCCAAATGGACTGTAAGTGAGAATATTGGGCGAACGTATGTTAACGTTCAGCCTTGAGATTGAGCCAGCTCATATCTGAATTCGTATTATTCTTCTGGCCTTGCATCGGAAGTTCGTCGATATCGTGTGGTATGATGACGCTGGACCTTCGTGCATTAGACTGCCTTGTCTTTTCCGCGAGGCTCGGATTCGATGATTCCCATGGCATATCTTGCGCGCTCGTTTGGTAGAAGCTGGTCGTGTAGTTGCTGCTTGTGGGTCGTCCAAGCCAGCTGCTCTGGCCCGCACCTTGCCACCTTGGATCATCGCGGTCGTCGTCTGAGGCGACACTGATTGAATCTGCACTGGAAATCCGTGCCGACTGGCTCTCTGGAATCACCAGGCTTCGACTGCCCATATTAGAGGGACCATGTTCCGTGGTTGGGCTGCCACTGAAAACACGGCCGAGTGGCTGGGGCTGTTCGAGGAAGCCGAAATTCAATGGTGTCAAGGTAGTCATCGGCCAGCCGCTTCCGCGGTAATCGGACTTGGTGTATGCGGAACTGATGGTCGAGCGGTCGGATTGGAAGTTAGTGGCACCGCCGTCCTCGAAGTACTTTCCCCACCCTTCGTCGGTCATTCGGTCACCGGCCTGGTTTTCACGCCCGGTGTCGCCAGCCCGATTGGTGTCGTCGGTGTATACGCTTGATGCGCCCATGACACCACTGGAGGGAATTGTGGATAGTGGGCTACTACTCTTGGGCTGAGGAGACAACCCATAGCCCGTACCACCCGGTGGCTTGAGGGATTTCTCTCCCCTGTAATTGCCGGACATGATAGCCAATGAATCGACCGAAGCAGCAGCGAGTGGGACAGGAGATCTTGCCATGGGGTAAGCGCCTTCGGTCAGGGGTTCTATGCCCTGATCCTGGAAACTCAGGCGGTCTTTGTTATCACTGCCGCCGGGTTGGGCTGCCTGTCTCTTCTTCTTCTCACGTCGCAGTAGGAAAAGAATGATGAGCAGGATCAAGCCAAACCCTAGGACGCTGCCAAGAGTTGCGCCAAGAATCGTTTTGCCGTGATCACTGAGGCCGCCACCTACAGCAGCCACAACTGGTGAGGAAGAAGTGGGTGTAGTTGATGCCGAGGTCGATGTGGATGTGGATGTGGTTGATGTCGGAGTAGATGATGTGAATGATGTGGTGGATGGTTTGAGAACATGTTGATCCGGCTTTCCATTGAACAACTCTGTAGAGTTGACCCATGCGTTAGAAGTCTGGTTGAAGACCGCTAATGAGTCATTACTTTGGCCGCTGGCGAGAACGACCAAGCCACTGCCCTGGGCGAGCGTATAATCGGACCAGGATGCCGTCGGGGCGAATGTGTCGTTGTAAGAATCGGTGATATCCCTCTTTTCCGAAGGTGCAATCGCTGTAACCGGGTTCTGCATCTTTCCTTTTGAGCTAAGAAGGTAGCTAGTAACCGTGTTTGGAGAAGCGACCATTCCAAACTCCTCGAGAACCTTGGTTTTACCACCGGAGCCGGAGGCGAGTGCGCATCGAGACGAGGATTGGATTGCAGAGGGAAGAGTCGCCTCTGAGATACTCCAGCCTTTCTTGGCGTCATAGATGTAAACAGCAGTGTTGGTGGCAGAGCCTCCAATCATGGTGACTTCGGAAGAACTCCAAGGCAAAATTATGGGTTCATACAATGCCGGTGTGCCCTGGTCGGCCCCGGCCCGGACGTCAAAGGTCGTGTCTGATGTTGAAATAAAGAGTGTCGATTGGGATATCCGTGTGCTACCATCTGTGTTTCCTGCGTAAACCAATATTTCTGAAGTTGAGGGAATGTACCCGGCACCATGTCCAGTCCGGTCTTTCATCTCCGGTGATGTCCCAATGAGTGTCGCCCACTTCCCTGTACTGAACGAGAAGCGTTGGAGGCCGCTGTTGTTGGGGGCGTCGGGGGAGCCGGTCCCGCCGATCAGATAAAAAGAGTTTTTGTCTTCGTTGTCACTTCCACTCTGGACGCAAGCAGGGCCGGTAACTTTGATATCTGGGGAGGGGAGTTTCCTCCATTTCTTCGCTTCCCCATCTTCTTTGAGAGGTATTGATGCAAAGCCGTCTGGCGAATAGACGTAGAAAGTATCGTCGTGGATAGTGGAGCAATCGCCCTCGATCTTGAGTAGGGGTTTGGGACCAGTCATGTTGAAAGGTTCAAATTGAATTCAAAGTTGCGATGAATGCTGGACTAGCAAAGGTGGGTGGCCAGCCAGCAGGGGACTTGAAAGTCCCAAATGAGAGAAGAAAAGGTGACTGCCAGAGCACTATCTCATCTCGATTAAGGCAGGTGCGAAAAATGCCAACCACACTCGATCTGAGTGACTTGACGCGATAAGCAAAGTGAACACGGGTTCTCGACTACGTTCTGCGCGATCAACCGCGATTTCAAGCTCTCAGGGCGAAACTGAGGTGGGTCGCGTATCGGATGACTCGGCGACTCGGGGGTACAATCAGAGTCAGGCGTGTCAACAATTGATTCACAGCACGCGTCGGGTCAAAGAGAATATCGAGTAAGGACAAAGGCGTGAGGCTGGGACGATCCAGTCGAAACGTACGAGAAAAAAAGTAAGGGCTAGCGAAACCCGAGTAAGCGAATGAGGGGGGTAAAACGAATGAACTATATCAAAGTGCACAGCACGGTAGATTCAGAGAAAAGGACAGAAACAGAAAGGTGAGACAGAGAGAAGGGCTCTCTCAACCCCCTAACGGAGGTTAACAGGCATAGGGGGGTTAGCAAACGACGCCATCCCTTAAGGGGAATAATTTCGTCATTTTCAATTCGCCCGCGGGTTTTTTTCACTGTTTTTTTCTCCGTTAATTTGAGTTATTTCACTTTGATTGGATTAGAGATATCATTCTCGTGACCATGTTCGTTCTGATTGGTTCTTTTCCGCCTTCATCTATTCTCTCTATATTGATCAGGGGCTCTCCCGTGAGAGGTCCCAATGTGGGACCACACCTGTACCTGGACCCCGTTTTACTTGCATTTTGACATTGGTCTTTTCTAATGCTTCTAGAGGACTATAGACAGCAAGGAGTGTAGTGTTATGCATTGCTCTATAATAAAATATATGCATAGAAAATAATAAAATAAATAAACAAAAGGCAACTTCCAACCTTGGAGATTCCCCCTAGACCCGTGGTTCTTGTCCTGGACCCACGGAAATTCCCAAACTTTGGCGCTTTGGCGTGCCGCTTCCAAGGTTCTTCTAAATTATACTTCATACACACCCCGTTCTTAAACATTTAACCTTGCTCATATTAATTTATACACATTTACCCATATTGAATTCTTTATAGAGACTTCCCAAGATTCAAAGATATTAAAATCAGAAATGTCTATTTTGTAGAACCGGAGGCCTGTCGATCGTACATATAGAATTAGTTTCAAACTAACGTCAATGTTATACTAAATACATGTCTCCAGCGTAGAAGCTTGGGTTTCTGCAATTCCACGTACTCAACTTCAATCAACGTTTACCGCACGAGCATGTTTGGTTCGTGCCATAGAAAACCTTCTTGCAGATTTCACAAATATCATCCACCGGCTGATCTGCAATATTGCCCACTATTGAAAAAAAAAGGGTATTAGTTAGGATCTATCAATTGAGGTTGATTAGAGCACTTACTGTTCTTAGGATTGGAAGGTATCTAAATATAAATATGATGCTGATCGGAGGATTGGAGTCTCGATGGATGATCCGAATATATAAAGACGGTTTGATGAGCTCGTCAACTGAAAGAGAAGGATATATGTGTATCGTGTCACAACTCTTGTTGATAGCTCATCAAGCTCGGGAATTGGTAGTGCTTTATAGAAGCTCAACTAGCTACAATAAATATCCTGAAAAGAAGCTATTCCAAGTCCCCTTTGTTAGATAGCCATGATCTTCAATGAGCATTATTGTGTTGCCACCATCGAGTTTCAAAGATTACCAAAATATCCATCTTTACTTCATATCTTAGTCCTATTTTTACACGTTCGTCAGGTTAACTAATTCCCTATTCGGGAATTTCTGAAGCATACCCCCGCATACCCCGGTTCGCTTTATATAGATCGGCCCCAATCATTGACTATTTATGAATCCTCCAAAAGCCACCGAGACGATCGCCGATTTCCTTTATTCTTGTGTTTCATAACAATCTCTAGATCTACATTGTGTCAACTTATAGTTCATCTACTAGGGATTTCTAACTTCGCCGTTTCATATATATATATATATATATTGATCCGGATATTCCGCTCTAGTCTATTGCAAGGTTGTGTTGCATGTAAATCATTCCATATATAGATGCCTCCGCTGGCTTTCTGACTCAAGATATATAAAGAACTTCCCAATAGAGAGATTCCCCGAAACCGGGATCGCCATGAATGACTTGATCGACAAAGACGAAACAAAGACTCGAGCGGTCTGCAAGTGGCGTTTCTAGAAAGAGTTTAATTGATTATCTCTACAGAAGTCTTTGATTTATTCTTCCCGTTGACCCATGTCACATGAAGTGTTTAACAACTTGCTCTATAGGGGAATATCAATACAGTGAAAGGAAGGACCTCGGGAGTGAGGGGGTTGGGCGATGGAACGTGGGGCTGTGGATATGTTTCTGAGACTTGTGAAATGTCTCAGTTCTCAGTGTTCTGAATGATATTAGGGATTTGTTGATATATTCAGAAGTGTGTACATAACTACTCGGATCTCATGATCTACTTTGTGGGCTGTTCTAGTAGAAATATATAAGCGGATGTATGGCTAACATCTTCCTGCTCAGCTTTTGCTAAATATCGGCTCGATCTTTAATTCAACTGACGCAGATACCACTACAGACTATAGGTTGTACTACGTACTACAGAGTCAGCCCCCGCCTCGCTGAAGATTATCCGCGGGGAGCTGTTGTACAACAGAACGGGGGGGATATGCTACAGCAACTGGTGGCCAGCATGCACGACATCCATACCGCATACCTGCCTAGATGCAGGGGACAATCCCATTTCCAGGACACTACATATCGGTTCGTGCCGCTTAACCGACGACACCGATTCGATCGAATGGGAGTATGTGGTCCGGTTTCATTGTCACACGTAGACATCGGACATGGTGTTCTGGTCTGATTATCATAACACATGAAGTCTGTTCCCATAGGTTTTGCATGGATGTTTTCATAGAAAGGAACCAAGGCGTCAAAACAAGGGAAATATGGGAATCAATTGATTTTGTAAAATAAAGCTACCACACGCTCTAGGACTGGGTCTGCTTCCATTGGTGTGCCTTTTGGAGCAGACGAGAAAGATTGGCAGCAGATTTGTCGTCTGCAGGGAACACATAGTCCGTGTACTCCTCGTACTGGTCGTCGGCCATCTTGCGGCGCTTCTTGACACGTCGGGGCATCTGTTTTTCGATATTTTCGATATGCTCGGGCGATCTAGTTGAGTGTTCGAATTGTCGCCAGCTGTTGAGAAGGTCCACACGCTGTACACAAGTTAGAATAGACTGAATAGTGTGTGGATTACGGAAATCAAAACTTACATCGTCCGTGAGCTCCTTCTCTTTGAGCACCTTCTCTCCCCGAGAAAAGACTGCACGTGCGCGGCGGGCTGCGTCTTCGCCGATCGGTTTCTCCTCTTCCTCTTCTTCTTCCTCTTCTTCCTCGCCCGGCACCGAGGCCTCGAAGCCGGCGTAGTTGATCCATACCTTGACGTGATCGGTTTTCTGAAGGAGACGTTCGTACAATTGTCGAACACGCTCATACTCGCCTTCCTCTTCTTCAAAGTCGATATAAGCCTTCCACACAAGCTCGGGCATGTCAAGTGTCGGTTGCTCGATGCCAAGCTCGAAAATGGCCCTCGCTCGTTCCGCGTCGTCTAGGTTACGCTCCAGCTCCGCGAACTGCAGCCATGCCTGGGTGTTGGAGGGGTTCCATTCAATTTGCTTCTGGAACAAAGTACGGCACCGCCCGAACTCGAATAACCGGTGTTCAATGTCGATATAACCACGGAAAAGCTTGTCCTTCGGACACATTCCGATCGCCTGACCCAAGGTCTTCCGTGCTGCTTGTAGCTGCATTTGGCGAATCTCAAATTGTGCCTTCATGAGCCAGACTTTGGCAAATGTGAACTTCTTGTGCGGAATCATCTTCAGGCACTCCTGATAGATCTGCCCAGCGCGTTCCATCTCCTTCGCTTCCATTTCTTCCCACACGGCATAAAAGATCCAGAGATAGATATAGCGGCGCCAATGTCTTTTCTCTTGTGATGGAGGGATCTGTGCAATGGCCCGTTCGTAGATGTCCCGCACCCGCTCTGGGTCACCCGAAATTTCCTCCAATTTTGCAAAGTCGAACCAGATGTCATAGTTGCGAGGGTTCTCTTTGAGTTGCTCTTCGTACTGCACTCTGCGTTTAGACAGAATCACATTCTCCACACCTTCACGATCACCGAACTGCTTTTCGAAGGTCGTGTAGGCCTTGTGAAGGGCCATCGCCTTGGACCGTGGAAGTCGGTCTAGGGCATACTTGTAAATCGCTCGTGCGCGCTCATACTCCTTCAACTTAGCCTCGAATTTGGCATATGCGGAAAAGAGCTTCTCGTCCATGAAGTCTTCCCCTAACGTTTCAATAGCCACACCATAGACCTCGCGAACCAAGTCGCTTGTGCCATACTCCTCCTCGAAGCGGGCCCATTTGATCCAGTTTCGAGGTTCGGGGTGGACGACGGTGAACCGCTGGAAAATGCTGCGTGCTCGTTCGAATTCGCTATATCTCTTTTCCATTTTGATGTATGCGCCCCACGCACCCTCTTCAGGCTCCCATGACATCCATCGCTCAAAGACTTGGCGGGTACCGGGAATGTTGCCCAGTGTCTCCTCCATGTAGACATACTTATACCAGAGCTTGTCGATGCGGGGGAGGATAGTCACGGCGCGGTCGAGTAGGTTTCGGGCATGGTTAATATTTCGGGTCTTCATCTCAGCTTCGATGTAGCGAATCCAAAGCACCACCGAAGTCGGATCGACGTCGAGCGCACGCTCGAAGATGGATCGCGCACGACGGAATTCCTTTTGTTCGAGTTCCCAGGCGGCATAGCGCATCCAGTTGTTCATGTTAATGCGATTGCGGCGCACATAGTCTTCGAAGTCCTTTCTTTTCCGAC